CGGGGAGTTTTTGATAGAGAGATTATGGACCTGATTACATTAATACCTAACATGGGTTTTAACCTGCATTTTGGGTAAAATTCACCATTCTGCAGAAGGCCCATAAAAGGCCTGTGCACCACTTACGCTCCACCAAGGCCCCATTTGGATGGTGCACGTGGAGCTGGGGTGATGCATGGGCCCTGTGCCTCGGGATGGGCCCATCCCTGATCCATCAATAATATTCCACGTGTTGGGGAAAAATATTAGCGGAGTGATTTTATTAACAACAGCCGTAACTCACCGCTTGTCTTGCCGCGCTTAATAAAGGGAATCGAGGGTGCTGTACACGAGCCAGAGGAGAGGCTCACAAAACTATCCTGCTAAAAACAAACAAACAAAGCCTTGGGAAGCAGGAGAGCACGTGGAGGGGGAGCTGGCTCCCACCAAAATCCTGGCTGCGCCGAGGAATGAAATGGAATCAGCTCGTGGATCTCACGATGTGGGGAATCTCACGGAGGTGTCTGTGGGTTAAGTGCTGCCAGGAGCACCGGGGCAGCCCGTGGAGAGCTCCCAGTTTTCAGCAAAGGGATTTCCTCACGGCCCTGGAAATCCTCTTAGCGTCTTCATTTGCATCTCGCCTGCCAGGGGAATAACTGAGAAAACAGCCCTGCTGTGTCTCCCTCACACCTCCTGCCTACCTGCGAAGTCACAGCCAGCCGGGACAGCGGTGTGAAAGGAGCTGCCACTGCTGCCTCTCTGCGGGTCCTCATTTTGAGCCGTGTCCCTTCTTTTTGTGTAGCATCCCCCCCACTCTGAAGGCATGTCCCCATATTTGCTGCCACACCGGCACCACTTGCATGAAGCAAAAATACTCTGTTGTGTTGATTTATTCAAATAGGGGCATTTTCACATAAAATTCCCTCATTTTCACATAAAACCTTCTCTCCTGAGCCTATCCAGAGTGCCCTTTCCATCCCTAAATGGAGGAATGCCCAGGTTTTGAAGGAGCAAGGGTGGCCTAAGCACATCCCTTCCCAGAGCAGCCATTCCCTGGGGGATGAGCAGCTGGGGGGGTCCGTGTCTCACCCCGATATTGCTGCCGTGCATGGAGCAGGGCTGGGGGCTGCTCTGTGCCTCCCGCACAGCCCTGGCCGGGGTCATCCCTTCCCACCCATCCCTTCCCTCCACGAGTTCAAAACAATCAAATTTAAAGGACCTTTTTTTGCCTCTGATTTTTGCTCCTGTGTATTTATTACGGCTCACAGTACAGGAGCCTCCTCCAGGGGCAGGGATGTGACAGGGTGCTTAGGGGATGGGTTTCAGCCATTTTTTGGAGATGGTTGGGGACGTGAGCATGGCCTTTCCAGAAATCAGCACTGCCGGATGCCAGGGCTGCGTGGGACTGCGGAGTGGGTGCAGGTGCTTGCAGCCAAAACTGGGGATAAATATCCATTTGTTTAGAGTGGGGATTTGCAAAATGAGAATCTGAAGAACAAACGAATTTTGATTGAACGACTGCCAAATGTTTGGGTGTTTTTTGTTTTTTGTTTTTCAAATCAGGTCTCAGCTGACTTTGCAGCCTTCTTGCCCAAAAGGCGGCAGAGCTCCTCTGCTCACACAGCCTCATTTGCCTAATAATAATTCTGTATTTTAACTTATTTGATTAATTTTTCTCTCTCCTTGCTTTGTAAAGCACCCAAATCTCTAACCTGTACCAGGCTCCACTCTTGTGACCCTTTTTGATTTTATTTTGTGGACCCCAAGAGGATACCCTGGCACACCTGAGTGCTGCTGCCTTTTTTTGCCAGCTCCCCGGGTTGTTTTCCTGCCTGTATCCAAGTCGGGGATGTCTCCCTGCGAGCCAAGCCGAGCCAGCACCGCCGGGTGCCCCTCCACCTGCACCCTGCCAGCTCCCAGGGGAGGCACAGAGGAGGCAGTGACCAGCGCCAGGACGAGTCTTCAGGAAAACCAACCCCAAATTGAAGGCGATTCGCGGCTCTGCACCAGCACGGCGTTTGGCTGGTGTTTAGATCCGGAGCGGGGAGAGGCTCCGAGGATGGACACGGTGCGGGGCTGAGCCGCTCCCGGCCCCGACGGCGGGGGCTGCCCGGGGGGAGGGTGCGGCCACATAAACATGAACCGCACCAACACCCGCATCCCCCCGAGGGCCGGACCGGGGCTCCGTGCCTGCCCCGCCCGCCCGCGGTCCCCCGGGGCCGGGCGGGGTGCAGGGCCGGTCCCGCGGGGCAGCCCGGGCACCTCGGCCCGGCTCGGAGGGGCGGGGAAGGGGGGGCGTGTGTGGATTTGAGGGTGTCTCCCAAAGGGGAAAAGGCTGCAGGACGTGGAAAACCTGCGCCTGCTGCAACCCAAGCTCAGCGGGAAAGGCAGCGCGCAAACAGCGCGGGGACACGCGGCCCAGCCGGGGGAGGCGCAGGATCCGCGGGGTGCGGCCCCCGCCCCTCCGGCAGCGCCGAGGGTGGGAGGGGGGATCCCCAAAGTTGTCTTCCCTGCGCGGCCGCGCACCTCGCACGGGGGAAAGTCCCGCGGCCGCGGAGCGCCGGCCTCCCCCAGCTTGGGTTTCCCTAAAGGCGAACTGGGGCTAAATAATGGATCGATCTAAAATTAACCGGAGGAATGGAAATGCTCTAAAAATAAGCCAGCAGCTGCCGTGGTCGCAGCCCCCCGCTCCCGTGGGGAAGGGGGAGCGGGGCCGGCCGGAGGAGGGGGCGCGGGCAGAGCCGGGCGGGTTGCGCGGGGCTGCGCGGAGCGATGGCCGCGGCTCTCCGCGGGCGCGGGGCCGCTCCGCACCTCGGCGCGGACGGAGCCCCCCAAAACTCCGCCGCCCGCCTCGCTGCCGGCGCACCTGCGGGTTTTAATTTTTCTTTGTATTTCTCTATGTTCGATTCTTCTCATTTCTGCACGGAAGCCTTTGGGGAAGCGGCGGGTCTCCTCCCCCGGCAGCAGCGGCCCGGGGCGGGGAGCGGCCCCGGGGGCAGCCGAGCGTGTGCGGGAGCCGCGGCCGCGGAGCTGCGGGGCAGCGCGGGCACGGAGCCGGCCCCGGGCCGCTGCGAGCCCCACCGCGCACACACACACACACACATACACACACACGCACTCACACTCGCACACACCTCCTCCTCTTTCCTCCTTTTTGATCCATGCAGCGATCCCATATCCTCCCGGCTCGTCTCTTTTATTCTTTTGTACTGAGGCGCGTTGTCCTGGCCAGCAGTGTGAACGGGGGCTTTGTAAAACGGGACAGATAAAAATGAGCAACATCATATTGTTTGACAGAATGATCCAAAATGATAAAATGCCTTCTCCGGAGGGGGTGAAAATGGTGAATTCCTAAAAAACAGGAGCGTCGCTTCTCTCCTCAGCCTCCCTGCGCTGCTCGCTGTAGCCTAAAGGGATCTGCCGCCTGCACCAGCCCGGATCACGTCCAGCCACTCTTTTCATTGGGAAGTCTCTTTTTAAAAGCCTTCATTTATTTATTTTTAAATAAATAAAGAAGGGGGGAAGCGGTTTCGGCTCGGGACCCCCCGTTCTCCTTGCGGCGAATGAAAAGCACAGTTTTCGAGAGAAAGGCTCGTTTTGATTAAATCTGACATGCTGCTGATAACTCCATGCTAATGTGAAATAATTAACATAATAGCCATAATTAAAAGCACGCTAACAATGCCATAAATTTATCACACAATTTTACTAGCTTTCTGCCCCTAACTGCTCTCTCATCGTTAATTAAACGTGTTGCCTTTTACAGAATGGATGTTTATACATTTCCAATACAAATAAATCCGAAACCGTGTTGGAAACATGACCAATTTCGTTTTGCACTGAGGTCTGCCTGGTTTAAGAGCGATTTCACACAAGTAAAAAAAATAAAAAATAAAAAAAAAAGAAAGAAAGAAAAATAAAGAAAAAAAAGAAACCAAACACGTGCAAGTAGAGGCCTAAGAATAGAGAGGGAAAATTACATGTATTTAATAATCTACATCTTCAGCGAAAGGCCCTGCTGAAGGGGGGTCCAGGCTCCGCCGTTCGCCCAATTTCGGCCCCGACCCCGGTCCTAGCGGTCGGGGGATGTCTGCGTGTCCCTGCCGTGTCCCCTCCCTTGGATGTGTTTATTTTACAGGGATTTCTCACCCGCAGCCCCTTTCCTGCGAGCCCTTTTACCCCCGCACGTTTGTACAGAACGACAATGCTGGTTTAATCCAGGTCAGGTCAACGATTTATATAACTCATTAGTGAAAGTAATAGGCTTAAGGAGCTGAAAGGGGACACCTTTGGTTTCTCCTTCCTTTAAAACGATTACAGAAGCAGAAATTGCCCCAGCCCTGTCTTTCCTCCACAATCTCCCCCCCCACCCCCGAGGCTCAGCCTCCGGATTTATTTTTAACTCGCTTCGCAGCCAGGACCTTGCTTTGCCATATTAGAATCAAATTGAGTTGTAATTAATTTCCCCCTCTCTATCATAACTTATTCCATCCTCCCTTTTCCCGTTGCGCTGCCGTGTCTCTATTTGACTCCGTATCGATCCGGACGATACAGTTTGTTTTTCTCCTGTTGCTAAATCTATCTGTCTATATGGGCGCCCACTTTCTATTTCTGGCCGTGTCATTATTGTGTGTTTCCACCTCCACAGAAGCTGCTTTAATTGTTTTATCTCTTTGCAGGACGCCCATCCTGCTCCCGCTCACCTCCAGCCCTTGAACTTCCATGGCTTCGGGGGCTCCCGGCTTATTTGGGGGAAACTTTCCTGATTTTTAGCAAAGCTTTTCTCCGCCCGGGTGGGCTCCTGCATAGTTTGCAACGGGATGGGATTCGAAATGCTGCCCTAAACTTCAGCAGGTGAAGGCCTGGGAGCCGCAGCAGCGCCCGCGGAGGGGCGCGGAGAGGCGCGGAGCGGGGCGGCCCCGCTCAGCCGGCAGCCGTGATTGAACACGGGATTAGCACAATAGAGCCCTAATCGAGGGGAAACGTTTCTTTTCACGCTAAGCACCGTAATTAATAATACGAATCAATTAATTTGACTTTTATTGTGCCGAAGAAAAGCGCAACAAATGGAGCGGGGGGCTGCGGAGTTGGGGTTTTTCCTCCTTTTTTTCCCAGGGAGAGCCTTTGCGGCTCGCCGGGTGACACCCAAGGCGAGTGCGTGTGAGTGAACGTGGCTCTGTGACTCCGCGTGTGACAGCGGGCGGTGCGCGGGCGCGGAGGTCACGGGCCGCGGAGATCCTGTGGGAGACGCGCAAGAACGGAGCGCGGGGAGAGAGCGGCTCCGCTCCCCGCGGGAAGGTTCCCCCTTCCTCCCCCCGAGCCGGGCCCGACAGAGGCTCTGCGAGAGGCCGGGACAGCGACCCTTCCGAGCCCCGGTGGGTTTCGGGCCAAGGAGGGGAATTGCTTTCCCTAAACCAACGCCGCTCATAGGAAATCGTTGAACTCCTGGGGCGTTTCCCTAATTTGATTGTATTTACCGAAATCGGACAACACGTGCGGGAAGCACCAGAGCGAAGGGCTCGGCGGGACGGATTAAAAAGGCAAACCCCGGGAGCCACCCGCGGCCGAGGGCCCGGGCGGGGGGTTCCGCACCGGGGCACGGGTGGGCGGCCGGGCCCCCTCCCGCCCCGCCGGGCGCCTTTCCCCGGGCCGGGGCTTACCTGGGGCCGCGGCAATACGGTCCTCACATTCACACACACTCCCTCATTTCCTACTTTTTCATATGCTAAAGCCCGCAATGATTAAGTCGTTAACACCTCTGGAAGGAAAAAAAAAAAAAAAAAAAAAATCAGAAGGGAAAAAAAAGAGAAAAAAAAAAAAGAGAGAAAAAAAAAGTAACCGGCTAAAAGGTTCTTTATTTATAGTTTCCCTTTGTTATTTTACGTCTTTTTTATTTCTCCCTGCAACTAACCTAATAGATTAATCAATAGCTATTCTCTGGTCTTCCGTTCCCAGCTGGTGCTGCTGCCCCTGGAAAAAAAAAAAAATTAAAAAAAAAATAGAAACCCACGGAAAGTGGTTTCAAAGCCCAAACTTGGTGCTTTTAAGCGCTCCTGAGGCGGCGCATCCGCTGAGCCTGCGCTGCCGAGCGCCCCGAGAGCGGCGGCTTCGGGCCCGGCGCACCGAGAGCGGCAGCGGCGAGCCCCGGTGCGGCAGCATTTCCGCGGGGGCCGGACGGTGCCGGTGCCGTCGGGCCCCGTCGGGGCGGGCAGAGCGGAGCCGCCGCCGGTCTTTGTTGACAGTCCATGAAACAACTCGAGTTTTGCATGACTTCACAGCGGGGCGCCTGACGTCAGGCGGTCACGTGGAGCCGCCTCCGAGTATATCTTTAACGGGAAAGTAATCTATCAGGCAGTCGGGACCGCCGCGCTGCCAAAGTGGCGAGCGAGGCCCCGCGACCCCCGGCCTCCTGCCCCCGCCCCGCCCGGCCGCCGGCAGCTCCGTCCCCTCCCTCCGCCGAGGGGGGGAAAAAACAGCGGCCAAAAAAAAGCCAGACGAGAGGAGGAAAGGAAGAAGAAGAAGCACATAAAAAAAAAAAAAAAAAAGGCGGCGCCGCCTGAGCCCCGATGCCCGGCGGCGGGAGGTGACCGGGCGGCCAGGGCAGCCCCGCGGACGGGAGAGCAGCGGGCGCGGCCGCCCCATGCCCCGCGGGGACGGCGCCGCGGGGCGCAGCCGGGCCGCTCGGGTGTAGCTCCCGGGGCCGGTCGGAGGAGCGGCGGGAGCGGGGCGCGGAGGGAGCCCGGTGCGGGCGGGAGGCCCCGCCGCCGCCGCCGCGCCCCGTCCGCCGAGCGGGGATGACCCTGTCGGGCGGCGGCAGCGCCAGCGACATGTCCGGCCCCGCCGTCCCGGCGGCCGAGGATGTGGATATCGACGTGGTGGGCGAGGGCGACGACGGGCCGGGCAAGGACAGCGAGGGCGAGGCCGGCAGCCCCGCCGCCCTGCCGCGCCTGCCGCTGGACGAGGCGGCGGAGCTGGCGCTGCCCGCGGAGGCGGGCGCGGAGAGCGGCAGCAGCGGCAGCGGGAGCCCGGCCGGGACGGCTCCCGGCGGCGCGGCCGAGGGCGGCAAGGGGGGCGGCGAGGAGGGGGCGAGCGGCGGCGGCGGGGCAGCGGGGCAGAGCAAGCCCAAGAGCAGCCTGGTGAAGCCGCCCTACTCGTACATCGCACTCATCACCATGGCCATCCTGCAGAGCCCGCAGAAGAAGCTGACGCTCAGCGGCATCTGCGAGTTCATCAGCAACCGCTTCCCCTACTACCGGGAGAAGTTCCCAGCCTGGCAGAACAGCATCCGCCACAATCTCTCCCTCAACGACTGCTTCGTCAAGATCCCCCGGGAGCCCGGCAACCCGGGCAAGGGCAACTACTGGACGCTGGACCCGCAGTCCGAGGACATGTTCGACAACGGCAGCTTCCTCCGCCGCAGGAAGCGCTTCAAGCGGCACCAGCAGGAGCACCTGCGGGACCAGACGGCGCTGATGATGCAGGGCTTCGGCGCCTACGGCCTGGCCGGACCCTACGGCCGCCCCTACGGGCTGCACCCCGGCGCCTACACGCACCCCGCGGCGGCCGCGGCCGCGCTGCAGTACCCCTACATACCCCCGGTAGGGCCCATGCTGCCGCCCGCCGTGCCGCTGCTGCCGTCCAGCGAGCTCAGCCGCAAAGCCTTCAACTCGCAGCTCAGCCCCAGCCTGCAGCTGCAGCTCAACAGCCTGGGCGCCGCCGGCTCCATCGTCAAGTCGGAGCCCAGCAGCCGCCCGTCCTTCAGCATCGAGAACATCATCGGCGTGCCGGCCGCCAGCTCGGCCGCCAGCGCACAGACTTTCCTGCGGCCGCCGGTCACCGTGCAGTCGGCCCTCATGGCCCACCAGCCGCTGGCGCTGGCCAGGACCACCGCGGCCATCGCCCCCATCCTCAGCGTGCCTACCAACATCATCGCGGGGCAGTTCCTGCAGCCCGCAGCCCCCGCCGCCGCCGTGCAGGCCAAGTGGCCGGCGCAGTAGCCCCGGGCAGCGCCCCGGGGAGCTCCGGCCGCCCCCTCGGGGCTCCGCGGCCGCCTGGACCCGGAGCAGCAGCGGGCACCGGCCGCCGCCGCCGCCGCTTGTACATATTTGTATCAAAAATCACTGACGTTGCTTTCGGGGTTTTTATTTTTCTAAAGAGGCGAAAATGACGGTCGCGATTAGGAGCTGCGAACTTTCACTTTTTTTGAAGGTTCCGGCGCTCCGAGCGGTTTTATCCGAAATAAACGAACAAATGAGGGGAAAAAAAATTGTATAAAAAAGAAATAAGCGGGGGAAATTTTAAATATTAAACGAACGAACAGGGAAAAAAAAGAGAGAGAATTTTGGAGAGAAAAAAATGAGGAAAAACGCTGTCATTCTATTATAGAAGTCTGTTTATATATGAATGAATATATGTATTCTAAATGTTATCCCTTCGTGTTGTACACAACTTTGTAAATAAATTTTTAAAATGCTCTGCCCGTCTCTGTGTGAGCGGTGTCTTTGTGACCCCCGCCCGCAGGACGGGCTGCGCGGCCGCGGAGGGTGCAGAGGCGCTCGGGGCGCGGCCGCGGAGCGCCGGTTCTCCGGTGCCGCGGAGCTTTGGGTTCCGCCGGTCGCGGTGCGGGCGGGTTTCCCACGGTCCCTCCACCCGGTTCGGGATGCGCCGTGCGACAGCGACAGCGCCCGGCCCTGCTCTTTCGCGGAGCGGCCGCGGCGGCGGGGCCGCCATCACCCCGGTTCCTTCCAAATCCAACCTTCCCCGGCAGATCCGAGACTCCCGCGAGCTCGCCGTGATGTTTCCCTAAATATATTAATTTTTCTCGGCCTGACTTCAGCTCTACATCCCGGCGCTGCGGCATTCCCGGCCGGAATAGGTACGCTTTGGGTCTGCGGTCGGGGCTAATTATAAGGGAAATTATTTTAAATAAAACACGTTGGGTCGATTTAATAAATGTTTACTATTTATTTTAGAGGGGGAAAAATACATATATATATTCAGGCCGTGGCCGTGCGGTGTCCGAGCGCGGATCTTTCGTTTAGATCAGGGAAATAATCCGGGTTAAAGCAGCGGTTCTTCCCCCGGGAAAGGATCGGCCTTTCCCAGTTAATTCCCAATAACTCAGCTTTAATGGCAGCTGTTAAAATTTAAAATAATATACATACATACATATATATGTGTGTATTTTCGGGGCTAAAATAAAGAGACAGTCAAAATCAAAAAATAAAAGGAATTAATAGTAGCGTTATAATAATTAAAGCGGCGCGTCGGGGGGTTGAACCTGCTGAGATCTCGGTGTCTCCTGTGCACTGACAGTGTTTGGTGCTTTATTATCTCCCTCTTACAAAGTCGAATTTTTGTCACCTTGGAAAAGCGCCGTGGATTTTGCTTTTCCGCTCAAATAATTCGTTGTCTTTGTTAGGAAAATCGGCGGCGTAAAATGCAGGCGGGATGCGGGATGCGGCAGGCTCGGCTGCGGGAGGAGCCGAACCAGGCGCTTATTTCCCCTCCAACAACCCTCTGACAGCCGTGGATTTAAAATAAATATATAAATAAAAGTGTCCTTGCTTTCCTGGTAAGCAGTAAATATTATTTCTTCCTAAGTAAATATTTATACCTCCGCATACATAGACTAAAATAAACCGAGCAGCCCCGGTGATGAGATCGTTTGAACTTTATAAATAAGGACTCGCTAATCATCTGCCGGGGACAGGGAGAACCTGGAGGGAGCGGGGACACGCGGGGCCCTCCGCGGGCACCCACGGCCCCGCGGAACCCCGCGGAGCGGAATGTGGCGGTGCGTGGCGGTGTAAGAGGAACGAGTTGTTTCACAGTTGTGTCTGGCTAATCGGTTTTACACAAACAGCAAATGGTGGCTGATTCGTGCGATCGAGGGGGTTTCTATATTTAGCCGATCCCCTGGGAAAAAAAGAAAGGAGCCTCTGCCCCGAGTCGCTGCGAGGCTCAAGAAGCTGCTGATCCAGGGCTTCCAGAGGACACCGGATAACAGGGGCTCATTCCATTCCCCAGCCTTTGTTACTTATAAAATTACTCGCTCATATTTCCCCACATAGCAGCAATGCCTCGGCTCGGCATCTGCGCGCCGGCGGCAGCGGCACCGGCAACTTTCCTGCCCGCTGCCTCCCTCCGGGAACCGCTTCTCCCTCCGTAACCTCCGGCCCCGCTCTCTCCTCCACCGCCGAGGACAGCGGCCCGCAGGAGAAGCCGGGGAAGCGGCGGCTGCGGCTCCCGGGGCCGGGCGGCACCGGGAAGGCTCGGGGCTGGGGAAGAACCCCGGGATGAGCCCCCCACCCGGCCGCCGCCTTCCCGCGGGAGGTGCCGGCTGCCCGCAGCCGCGGGGCCGTGAGCGGCAGCGGGGCCGTGCCCGCAGGTGGGGGCTCCCGGTGGCGGCGGGGCTGCAGTGGCGCACCGGGGCCTGCGGGGGGCGCGGCGGCTCCCGCTGCACCCGCGGGGAACGGGCGCGCCCCCCCGGGGCCGGGAGCACCCCCGGGACCGGGAGCATCCCCGCAGCACCCGGATGGGAACACCCCCGGAGCATCCGCGGGGACCGGGATCGCCCCCACGGCCCGAGGGGTCGGGAGCACCTCCGGGACCGGGAACATTCCCGGGGCCGGGAGCACCCTCGGAGCAGGGAGTCATCGGGGAATTCGGGTGCAATTCGGGAAGTTCGGGTGCAATTCGGGGGATCGGTAGCACCCCCGGCGCCTGCAGCAGCCCGGGACGGCACCGACCCTGGCGCCCTCTTGCAGCGGGCGGCACGACGGGGCGTCCCGGCGGGTCCCGCAGAGCTACCGGCGGGGATCGGGAGTCCAGGGGGTGTCAAAAATCGGTCCCCGAATAGGGGAGGGTTTGCAGCCGGGACGAGAGCGGCTTTCCCGGCGGAGTGGGCGCAGCCCCCGCAGCCGGACCGGGAGCGGCAGGCCGGGGAGAACCGGGAGCAGCGTATCCCTGCGAAGTTCCCTCAGCCACGGGCAGCAGCCGGACAACAGAAACTCCTTCCCTTGTTCTTTCCCTTGTTTTCCCTTCCACAAACTTGTCCGCCGCATATGGCAAAACTTGACACGGCCGGTGACAGATGCCCATTAGTATAAGTCGTGTCACGTCGGTCCCCGGGGTGTGTTGGAAGTAACTAGATCCGAAACACCGGGAAAATGACCCTCCCGCAGCCCCGAGAGTTTACCCAGTACCACCACCCCCTGCACCCTCCCCGACCCCGCTCCTTATTTATTCCGATTACGGCCCCGCCGCTCCCTCCGCCGGGGGAAGGGATTTATAATAGGATCTGCCGATAGGATCTGGCCCTAATCCTCTAAACCATCACGCTGGATGAAAAAGGGACGAGATGGGGCTCATCAGGGCCATTTCCTCGGCTGATGCGGGGCTCCCGGGGAACCCTCTCGTTTTCGCTGCTCGGCCGCGGGAGTTGCGCCCCCCTTTCCCCCCTCTCCGCGCTCCCAGCGCCGTCTATTTATAGCATCACTGGTCTCTCCGGGCACAGAGCGGGGCTGAAAGTTTCGGGCTAATGGGTGTTGAAAGGCTGCGGCGAGCGTTGGAAAAGGCAGGAAAAGACCTTTAGGGGTTATTTATAAACGTGTATTTATCGCGCGTGTGTTTTTATCTCAGTAAGCAGCCCCAGCGTTCGGGGTATCCCCCCCGCCCAGCCGAGACCCGCGTGGCCGCAGCAGTGTCCCCGGAGGGGGGCAGCGATCGGAGACCCCGCTCCGGAGCTGCGGGAGGGCACAGCTGAGGCCGGGTTTCCCGCAGGGGACAGCGCCGGGAGCGCTCCGGGCGGCCGGGGAGCGAGGTCCGTCACAGACCTTTCCTTCTCGGTCTGTCGCACCGAGAGGCGGCCGGAGGAAATCATCCACCGGCGACATCAGCCCCCTTTGGGACACGGGCAGCGTTTGAGGACGGCTCCGGCTTCCTCGGAGGTTACGGGCTCGGGTCGGCGCCGGCGGTACCGGGGGATTTAACGCGCCCCGCCCGCACCTCCGGCACTGCCCGGGGTCCGTGTCCTCGGCCGGACACAACAGGATGGCTTTGGGACGAGCCGCCCCTCATCTTTCGCGGGGCCCTCGGGAGTGTCCCGCTCCGGGAGGACAGCAAGGATGACTGCTTTAGGAGAAGTGCGGGTTTCCCCCGACCCGTGCTGGTGCGGATCAGGGGGCAGTTCCCGAGGGATGGGGGAATTCGATGGGATTTTGCCTCTCTGGGCACCTCGGGCAGTTTCGTGGTTTCACCCTCGTGCCCGAAGTGCGCTCGGGGCCTGTCCCCGCCTGCTCCGGGGAGGCGGAAAAGCAGCCCGTCCATTCCCGAAGGCATTTTATTGGTGTTAAAAGGCAGAGAGTGAAGAATCACAGCGAGCCCCACGCTGCCCATTCCCGCGGCTGCGGACAGCCCGGGCATCCCCCGGGGCGGCGACTGAAGCGCTTCAACCTCCGCCCGCAGCCGGGAGAGTCCGTGCCATCCATCCCCGCAGCCTCCCTCGCCACCGCCGCGCCTCCTCCCCGAGCCGGGATCGCCGCAACCGGGCAAACACTCGCCATACACTTTTCTGGAGAGGCAACTCTTCAATTCCGGGGGCTTTTATTGAATTACGTGTTACCAGTCCTAAAACGTTAAGCGTTATGTACTTAAAGGATACAGAGCATAGGTATTACATCCACAGGAAGTATTTTAGTCAGTGAATGTTCAATGTAGCAGGTAGAGATGAACTTAGCACGTCTTCCAGACTGAACTGGGAACAGACTCTTCAGCCATAAAATGCACTTAACAGTCTATTTAATAGTGGCGAGGTCCTTGAAAATGCAATATCCATGCTAATCTTGCCTTTTTCTAAATCAGAAATGAAAAATAGGTCAGGAAGGTAGAACCTTCCCCTTCCATTTAAAATGTGACATTTAATCTATTTAAATAACTAAGTAAACTTTATTAATCCGGGATTTGGTAAGCAAGCTGAGGAAGCGGGAACCGCGCTACTTTATTAAGACGGCAGAATGTGAGAGGGAGCGTCCTTGAACTCCAGGTGCGATAAAATCCCTGTTTTCTTGAGCTTCAGCGAAAAGGGAAAAACCGAGACACACGAAAACGGCCCAACCTCTCCTGTCCAGGAAAGGATGAAAGGAAAGGTCCTGCTCTGCTTTACCGAGGACTCGGAGCATCCCCCGGGCTGGGATCCCCTGGCTGAAACTCCGTGTCGCCCAGCGCCTGGAAAATGGCAGGAATTCAAGAGAAACCCCCAAACCCTCAGTAATTTATAATTACTCTATTAAATGCCAATATTTAATGGGGAAACCCAAAAATAAATCCATCTCCCTGCGGGCTCAGCTAGTGGTTTCTGACACGTTTACTCCTGGTTTTGCTCGGCAAAGGAGAAAGCGAAAGAGCCGAGGCTGCTGAGGGCTCAGAGCGGGGCTCGCAGCGCGGCTCTGCGCCCGCTAAATCCCGGGCGGTGTCCTGGGGTGGGGATAACCTGGGAATCTGCAGATTGGGAATCTGCAATTGCAAACGCCTCCAGAGTTTGTTCCCCCGCTCGCTCCGGCACCACGGCTCCGCTCACAAACGAAATTCTGCATGAGCTGGAACTTTTTATGGCCGCGGGCTCTGCACCCCCGCCCGCCCTAGGAAAGACTTTCTCGTTATTCTGGCCGCATTTCACCCCGAATTTATGGATTTTTGCCTTGCCAGCACTAGGCTGCCATCGAGCTATAGAGCCGGGGTGGAGGAGAGGAGGCAGCGGAGCTCCGGAGCCTCCCGAGAACGCCAAGGGTTAAGAAAAGCCGTTTATCTGCTCATTATCGGCTTCTCCTTACTCCCGAGCACCAAACCCCGCGCGTCTCCTACCCCGCCGCATCAATGTGTCCTGAATGCCTTTTCCAGTCATTGATCTGCTCAAAGTCACCGCAGAAACACAAGTGACAGAGACTCAATTCCAGGCGACGCGCCCGATGCGAGTATTTAGAAAGCATTCAATAAAAAAGCTTTCCCGGGGAGTGAATGATTTCACCTTGCAACAAAGAGCGCTCGGCTAATTGAAATAATGCACTTGAATGTGCGGCCGTGGGCTCCTGCTCGCTTATCCCAGCCCCAGCACAGAATTAGCAATAATCTCCAAGGAAAAATCCAAAAACTAATTTTTTAATTTTTTAAATTTTTTTTGGTAATATTCCACAGGCAACGAGCGCGGACTCGGGAGCGGCTGTGTTATCAGTGCTCCCCGGCCTTGTTCTTTTGGGAATTCTGGGCATGGAAAATCCTGGAGGGGAGAGTAAAAGGAGAGGAGAGAGGAACTGAAATAGGAATCTGCCCTGGTGATTCTCCCCCGGGCTTAGGCTGGGAATTCACTTGTTTCAGTGCCATAAGGCAGCTCCAGCCGCTGCGCGTTCAGGACACTAAGTCAGTTCGTAACTGATGAATTTCTAGGATTGTCCTTATTTTACAGACTTGTCATTTCCAGACATGCTGTCAAAATCCTGAAATGGACGCACTTTACTCAGCAGGAATATAAATTATTGAGTGTATCAGATTAGGCAAATTGTGTAAAATTTGATGGGCATAATCTGCCATTTTCCACAGGATTATGGCTCCAAACACCCTGGTAAGCCAGCAGACAGGTGTGATTTTTACTTTTATCTGTTTAAGAGAGCTTTCAGTCTCTTCACACAATCCCACATGAGGCAACAGCACAAGAGGCTGAAATTATGGCAGGTGTAGTAAGAAGGACCAGGATGTCCAAAGAATTTGCACTCAAAAATGGCTGGGATAGTGGAAATCAGCATCCTGCACTGGAAAAACATCAAGGGAGAAAAGCTGTCTCTGGTGTCATGCAATATTATATCTATAGTGCTTATATATTTTGGAAATAATCTGCATATCTGAAAAAAAAAATTAATCACTTTGATTACAGTAATCTCTGTTTACTTTAACGTCCCTGTTCTAAGTGGTCAGATGTTTCTTGACCACATTTGTTTTTTGTAGCAGCTGTGTTTAAACCCATCACAACTTTCAGCCCAGGGATTCCAATCCAAGGAGAGCACTGCTGCCAGCTCACCTGGCAGGTGTGCCCACAAAACCCTCAGGAGGTGGTGTTAGTTTTAAGAATAATCAGTTTTCTGTTCAGTTTCATGTCCTGACCTCAGAAGAAAAGCCCAGGTTGGATGGGGTTTGGAGCACCCCGGGATGGTGGAAGGTGTCCCTGGCCACGGCAGGGTGGAATGAGCTGATCTTTGAGGAGTCCTTCAACCCAGAGCATCCTGTGACTCTCTGATTTTTGTTATGCTCTCTCCTTTGTCAAGGGAATGAAAAGGGGCAAGACTGAAAGGTTTAAAGTGAGGCCTATGGTATATCACAGAGAGATTCCAGAGTCTTCCTTGTGTGTCCAGACAGCCTCAAGGGATGGCCCTGCCTGAGCAGGGAGGTGGCACCCGATGACCCCGCTGTGGTCCCTTCCAGCCTGACCCAGCCTGGGATTCTTTTTTCCCAGATATCGTCTCCAAGTTGTAAAGGCTGAGGGGCTGCTCCCCAGCTAGCTGGCATGGTAGGAAAACATGAATCCCAGAGTGGTTTAAAGGAACTTGGACCATCCAGTGCCTCCCCTGCCATGGCAGGGACACCTCCCACTGTCCCAGGCTGCTCCAAGCCCATCCAGCCTGGCCTTGGGCACTGCCAGGGTTCCAGGAACAGCCACAGCTTCTCTGGGCACCTGTGCCAGGGCCTGCCCCCCCTCACAGGCAGGAATTCCTCCCCAGTATCCCATCCATCCCCGCCCTCTGGGAGTAGGAACCATTCCCCCTTCCCCTGTTGCTTGTCCAGAGTCCCTCTCCAGCTCTCCCGAAGCCCCGTTAGGCACTGAGGTCGCCCCTGGAGCGTCCCCTCCTCCCGGAGCAGCCCGCAGCCCTCCCGGCCCGGCCCGGCCCCATCCATGGCGGAGCGTCCCTGAGGCGCTCCCGGTTCCCGCCCCGCGCACGCGCAGAGCCCTCCCGGAAGGCGCCGCGCAGGCGGAAGCGCGCGCGCCGGCCCGAGCCCGGTGGGAGCCGGCGGGACGGGCTGAGGGGAGCCGGGACGGAGCGGGGGCTGAGAGCGGCAGCGGGGCTGAGCCCGGGGCAGAGCGGTTGCTGAGAGCGGCAGCGGGGCTGAGCGGTGAGGGGAGGTGAGGGGGCTGTGCGGCGACGAGGCTGAGGGCGGTCAGGGGGCTGAGGGGGCTGTGGGGTGACGGCGGTCGGGGGGGCTGAGGGGTGAGCTGGCCACGGGCGCTGAGGACTTAGCGGGCTGAGGGGGCTGAAAGGCTGAGGGGTGTGAGAGGAAGCGGGTCGAGGGTTCTGAGGGGGCTGAGGGGCAGCAGGGTCCGCTGGTGGCCGGGGCCAGCTCGGGGGGGCTCGCAGCTCGGCCCCGGTGCGAGCCCCGCAGCGCCAGCCCGCCCTGGGGGCTCTGGGGAGGCCGGGCAGAGCCAGGGGTGAGAGGAGGAATAAAGGCGTCTCCTGGCAGGGATTAGGGAAACAGCAGGGTTGTAGGCAGGTATTGCTGCAACAGATTAAATTCTTCACTCGGTGTGTGCGTTTTTCAGCTGCTGAAATGTGGTCTTTTAAAAGAAGTTCTGGTCAGGGCCGTGCTTCTATGGCTGAGTTGTGTCGGCTCTGTGGGCCAGGGCTGGGTGGTTTGTACTGGTGGTATTTATCCGAATCTTCATTGCAGACAGTGTGTAAGGATAGCGTTTCTTTGTTGTTGTTTTTTTTTTTAATCTGTGATTTTCACCTCATGCTTACAGGTGGGATTTTTGAGATCACCTGATCAGGTGTTGCACATCCAGGGGAAGGTGAAAAGTTTGGGATTGACCAAACTGGCTTTATCATCCCCTAAAAGTTATTCCTAACATTGTTACCCACAGGATACCAAGAATTAAGAATTCTGTGCTTTAGAATCTAATAAAAGCCTGGCTTTTTGTTATAGGTAGTATGGAATAATTATTAAAGGTGAAAAATAAATAGGAAAGAATACTTTAAGAGCCACTTTTGAGAAAAGAGAAAGAAACTCAATATCCCAGAAAACAATTGTTATTCCAAATGTAGGGAATGGCAAAAGTAAATGAGTGAAACAGAGATGGGGGAGTCTGTAGGTGAGGCTGGTGCTATGTAATAATTAAGAAGGTGTAATTAATTAATAATGTGGCAAAACAGAAAAGAAGGACAGCTGTATCTTTTATTTAGATAAAAGTGCCTCCCCTGTGGCTGAGGCACAGGTGAAAACATGCAAATATCAGTGTTCACCTTCCTACCTATAGATGGAGATCTGCTGCCACAGATTTTTATTATTAATTAACTTCTTTTTTCCCCTTGTTGGTGGTGTTGGGTCACACCTTTCTGTGAATAGTAAATAAATGTGGGCGGAGTTGGAGAAGAATAAGCTAAACATGCCTTAGATGTTGCTTGTCTGTAACTAAAACAGCAGCTCAGTGCTTCTGCTGTATGGGATTTTTGGTTTTGGTCAGTAGCAAATGTATTAAACTCACTTAAATCAAAAGATGCCTTTTCTGCAAGGAAAATCTGTGGCAGTTTTACCCTTCAAGGCTGGAGTAGTTTCTTCCTCACATTTTTCCTAGTTCAGTCTAAAATTTTTCTGATTCTTCGGGTTGAAGTTTGCATATTCTGTAGTTAGTTGGTTTAGATTTTTTTTTTTTTTAAATAGGGCAACATAATAATTTTTCTGTTTCTTGGTTTCTGAGTTTCATGCACACAGCCTTCAATTTGACAATATTGGCAATATTTTTTTTACTGGATCCTTAGTGTGGTGAAATGAGCTTGGTAGGACAATTGCTTTTTGGGGGTGGAAGGATGGAGAATAATGTCTCCTGAGACCAATTAACTTTTAACTAAGTTTTATTTTGTTTAAAGCAGCAGTGGTGCCTAGACCAGATGTGCATTTTCATCATCTGGCCGTGGTGCTCTTAACTGAGGAAAGAAGCGGCATTAACGTAACACTGGGACACCAGCTCACTTTTTAACCCCTGTGCCTGTTAATAATGCAGCGAGTTGTTAATCTAGGAGCTGCTCAGCAGTGGTGGCTGAGCACAGGGGGCTGGCTGGTGCTGCAGCAGTGCCCCTGCTGTGTCCCCAGGTGCCTGGAGCGTGGCAGCCATGGAGAAGTGGAGCCTGATGACGATCTCGGTGCTGCTGGCGCTCACCGTGCGCTGGGCTGTGTCCCTGGGCTCCTACTCAGGTAAGGCTCCTGCACAGGCTGCAGCAGCCTCGGGGAGAGGCTCGTGGGGCTTGGCAGGAATGGAAATGAATGGTATTTACAGCTAATTTATTCTATTGGTGTTTGTATAAAATCATACGTCGGGAGCAATGTGTTATTTCAGTGAGTTGTTATATTTAAGTTTCTCTTGATTTCCCTGAGAATTCATTTTTCTTATTTTTTGAAGTGTTGCCATGACTAACATTACAGTTTGGAGCAGAACACTGGAAAAAAAACTCCATAACTTTTTTTTTTTTTTGAGTGGTGCTGATGATCATTCATGTTTTAGGATCAATATCTGGCTGTTTTCCCCTGTGCCTTTATTTGCAGAATATTGAAGTCCACTTGTACATTTGCCTCATACTGTCTTTTAAATTCTGTAGCAGACATGACCTTATTATTTGTATTTTTATTTAGCTTATATGTAGCTAATCCTGGTGCTAATGAAGACAGTGCAGAGGTGACATGGAGTGAACAATGACTCTGCCTTGTAGCTGTACCTCCTTAAGCTTGTTTACAGCAGCAGCCAGAGCTACATTCTGGTAATGGATGAGTTTTTCTCCTCCTCGTGTCAGAAGGCTTGCAAAGAATTAGCAAGTTCCTTTCCAAGCCTCCCAGTTCCATTCCTACACTTGGAATAAGCTTGCACAAGGCTTGCTCTCTGCAAATTTAACAAAAGATAAAAAATGAACCAATACTTTCAATCCTCATCAGCCCAAAGAATCACAAGTCAAATTCTACTCTGTTTTTTTTTGAGGCAATGGGGAGCCTCATCCCCTGAGCTGTTCAGGAGCATTCTGGTGATTTTTAACTGGTAATTCTGAGCTTCATTCACTTGAAGAATTTGCTTGAAGCTGAACTGCATTTCCAATTGTTTTGGTTGAGTTTGCTTTCTCAAAATGCCATTTCTGAGAGGCCTGTAGGTAACTGAGGTTTTACCCATTTCTAGGCAGGAAGCACCCTGGCTTCAGGCACACACAGGATTTCCCTTGCAGTGCAAGAGGATTTATTTAGAATTCCGTTGCTAACTAGATTTTTGTAAGTTGATTTAATTTCAAACCAATCAGGATTGTGGAAGAGACTCTAAAATAAAGCCCGAACTAAAATAACATTTTTTAAATCTTATTTCCTCCACAGTGCTGATATAACTTCTTTTGGAATAGGAAAAGGTGAATCTGATCCAGTCCAGCAAATTATTAAAGCTTGACTTTGAGCATTGGCTGGCTGTAAAAAGACAAACCCCAGTGTTGGAGCTGTCAAACACATAAATCCACTGGGATTTTTTTCCCTTTGTCTTCCTGCAGATGTAATAAACTTTTAATTCCACCCTCATTTACTGTGCACCCTTGGATCTCTGTCTCATGCCCACCCTGTTCCTTGCCATCAGCTTGCTTTTGGATCTGCCTCTGGAATTCAATGAAGAAGCAGAAACTAATACCTAGTTTTGAAAAGTTACCATTAGTGATGGCCTGGTCTTGGAGAATTTTACTGAGGAAAAATTTGGTTTCATAGGTTAATGCATAATTTTTTAGTGCATGTTCAAACTCCTGCTAAATGCAGGTATTGAGAGGCAGCTTCAAACCCTTAAAAAAAAAATCTGTTCCCACGTTAACAATAAAACTGAATTAGATCACTACTTTTAAGGTGTTTGTGAGCCTTTTAAAATAAAATATTCCAGTTTTATTATTTTTTAACTTCGTTTGTCTGTGTACTTGGTGTTTTCTCTAGATGGAAGTTAAATGTGCTTTGTCAAACTAACTGATCAGTAATTGGCTTTTAATAATCAAACCTTTGGATTAAGATATTTTGATCATTCTGAAGCCAATTAATTTTTTTCATCCCTTTTTCTCCTCAAGATTGAGAAATTGATACAAACACTCTAAAATTTGGATAATATCCATTTTGTATTTCAGCAATTCAAATATCCATTTTGTATTTCAGCAATTCAAATATCCATTTTGTATTTCAGTAATTCAAATATCCATTTTGTATTTCAGTAATCCAGTGGCACATTCTTTGTTCCACTGGACTTAGAGCTACAGAACTGACTGATGAAACTCCAGTGACCTCACTTATTTGGGAAACTTTAATCTGAATGTGTGAGAGTGGAGATAATCTGCTCTCTCCACCCCGCAGGAAGAAATTAGCAGAGATAAGAGGTCCTTTGCACTTTCTGGGAATAAATTGCACATTGCTGAGCTGGGGGATTCCCACAAACATAGATCATGGCTAAAACCACAGATGGCTTTCCTATATTTTAAAGAACCTCTTAAATCTCTGTCTGGCTCATGTCAATATTTCACTGGGAGCACAATCATTCCAGGTTCTGTTCTCAATGAGCAGGTTAATAGAGGTAAATAAACTCTGGGAAGATGCTTTGCATGCTGCCATTATCACAGTTAGGCCTCCATCGAGGGGAGTATTTGACATCTGAAGTATTTGCATTGAGAAAGCTTTCTTTTCCATGAAAATGGCAAATATTAGTATTATGATGATATTAATAGTAAGACACCATGACATGGCTGAAACAAGTGAGAATATTGACAATTATCACACACCAAGGGAGTGCAGCAGCTCCCACAGAATCACTGTAACATGTCCATTATGTGCATTTTCCTAGTTCAGGGAAAGTACCACATTTTTCATCTGCACTTGGAAATGATTTTTTTTGTCAGATGAGGAAGCAGTTCTTCACAGCAGAGTATCTTGATAAATGCTCATTGCAGAAATCTCCAGAAAGCCAAAAGAACACATTACTTTTTTTTTTTTTTTTCTCTCTGTTAGACTGCATGATGAGGTCTCTATTTGCTCTCGATATGGAGGGATGGAGAATAAAATTAGTAATTAATATGCAATACCTAACTGGGGGAAAGCAATCTATAAACCAAATAATGTCCTGAATGCTGTGTCCTCTCTTTTTAGGGGCAGGAAAACCACCTATGTATGGAGACTACGAGGCTCAGAGGCACTGGCAAGAAATCACCTACAACTTACCCATCAGGCAGTGGTAGGTGTGCTTTCAAAGGGAGAACAGGGGGAAATCCTGCTTGTGTTCTACACCTCTGAGTTCATTTTTTCTTCCATGATCCATGAGATTTTTAAATGTGGGAATTCTGGATTTAAGTGTAGCGAGCTTCATTTGTACAGATCATGTAAAACAGGAGAGGAATTATTCTAAATATTTTATTTATTTTTGCATTATTCCTAATATTCTTTAGAGTAAAAATTTAGTCCATATATGTGCTACAACTCAAATTGGAATATATTGGAATTCCAGCTCTCTTCCAGCAAGGACAGGGGTGTTTTGGGTGTGTGGTGTAATTTTTCCTTGGCTGTCTGTTGGGGAACAGACTAATCTCACAAAATAGAAAATTAGTTCACTTGTGTTCTGTAAATACATGTGAACTCTGCAGATGGCTCTGCATAGTGACCTCAGATCATCTTGTTGTTCCTATATTCTCATTTTGGTCCTTTTTTTTTCCTGGGATATCCAAACCCTGACTGTGCCAGAGTTGGGATAAGTGGTGTTACATAATAATGGAGTTGGCAGCTTTGATCCACTCTGCTACACTGAACTGTGTCTCCTTAAAATGAGGAGTTACAGCAGCCAATATTCCCAGGCATTCCCAGGGGCCAGATCAGACACTGCTGCAGGCTGGGTTTGGCCAGGTGGGCACCTTGGGCTTGTATTTGCTCTCTGGTTCTATAATTGATGTAATTTTATATTTATAATTGAAGGGGGTTTTGGGGTTGGGTCTGCTGTGGGAATTGAATCTCTAATACAACAAAGTGGGTGTTTGGAACAGCACATCTTGGCTGCAAGGGATTGCATTCTAGAGTTTAAATATTGCTGGTTTATATTATTCTGTAAAGTCCTTTAGGAACATCTTTTTTATTCTGCTGCTAATTAAAACTCTGAAAGCTTCCTTACTAAATATTACTGGATATATAAATGTTGGTTTTCTTTTTTTTAATTGAAAACTTTATGGAAGGTAAAATGAAAAAAATAAACCCCTGAAACTGGCAAGTGCCCTGAAAGTTGCAAACTGTGACATTCTGCATGAAGAATCTGCACTGCCTTGGCAGGAGCAATCTTGAATTGTAGGATAAGAGGCAGAGATGCAACTCAAAGAAATGTGATTTATCTTCTGTTCAGAGGACACTTCAGGCAGCTCATAAAGAATTCAAGAAATATCATTTACTATTATAAATGTCAAAAATTGGCTGCATTTGAGGAGAGGAAGTGGAAGAGCCAAGAGCCTGCCCCGTGGCAGTGGGAGCAGCCAGGCAGTGTTTCACTGGCAGGTGGGAAGGGGCTGCTCCTCATTGCTGCAACTTCTCCTTGGCCAAACCCCTCTGATCTCATTTGGAAAAGGTGACTTTGTTTTGACTGCTGCCGTAGAAATCCTGACACAACATAATCCCAAATGGGAAAAACCTTTTCCTTCCCTTCACCTGGGTTTGGAGGTAGAACCAGGAGTTTTTCTCTCCACTGAAGTGAGATTTAGCAGCTTTTTTTTCAGCCACAAATATGTGAACTCTGCATCACTTTTGCTGTTATTTTGTTGCTTGAGACTTATTTAACGTGTAGTAAATTAGGCAGGTATAGATGTTGCCACCTTCTATTTTGGATTTGGAATGCATTTAGTTCCTTGGGTCAAAACCAAGCTGGAAATGTAGTCTTTAAACTGTATTTTATGGTTTTTTAGGTACTTCAATACAAGTGACAACAACCTGCTGTACTGGGGCCTCGATTACCCACCTCTCACTGCCTATCACAGTTTTGTGTGTGCTTACATGTAAGTTCAGTGTTTGAAATCCTGTGTTTCATTTTTCTTCCTGGGTATTCAGCTTTCTCTACAAGCCACTGCTGGATCTGGGATGCCCAGGGGAAAGTGCTGCAGGAACAGGGAGCATTGCCTGGGAAAGCTCTCGTGTGTGCAGAGCCCAAGTGACATTTGATGAGTGGATATCATGTAAATAGAATTCTGTTATTGGAATACTTTTTCCACAAGGGCTTTGCTGTTGGTGGAATGAGACTTATGGAATAAGAATGTAGGTTAAAGTGCACAGGCACAGCTATGTGGGGCATCTATGTGAACTGTAAATGGTTTATATTTAATACTTAAGCATGAAAGGTATTTACAATTGTTTTTTTTTAAAGTCCCTGGAACCAGACTGGAGGTGGTTATCTTGTCCTAATAAATATTGTATTCCATTTTTACTGTTTCCAAGGGTTATTTTTTTTTTAATTGTGAAACAGTCTATAGTGTAAACTGATCTAGTGGTGAGGAAAAGCTTTCATTGATCACTATTGCTCTCTGAAATATTTCTTCTCATTCATCTTAATTCTTGGAATCTGCTCCTGTCTGTGTCATCTTTATTGCTGCAAGGAGTGTAAAGGGAAATGAGAACTGTCTGCATTTTGATGTGTCTGTACTTTGTTTTACAGTGCAAAGTTAATAAATCCTGATTGGGTTGCTCTGCACACATCTCGGGGCTATGAGAGCCAGCCCCATAAGTTATTTATGCGTACAACAGGTAGGAAGATTATATTTCCTTGGGATCATCCTGCACATTTGTCTTGCTTACTAATTCAGCATGTTTAATATGCAGCTTCTCTCTCTTTACTGGTTTATTCTCAGGTTTTTAATTGGGTGGTTTGCAGGTCCATTTCTGAGGCAAATTCCTGCATTATTTCCTCTTCTGCCATCATTTGTGAATTTGATGAATATGAAATATAGAAACAAATTTGCAACCCAATTGATTAATTAAAAGCTCTAAAACACAGCTGCTCTTTGTAGCATAGACTCACGTTTTAATTTTGAAAACTATTCTTGTTTTCCCTTCTATTCTGCTAAATAGTCTTATTTTTAGCTCAACTTGATTTTTATTGTAAAATTATTTTACATGTAGCCTGGCATTTAGAACTTAACCTCTGAGGTATCAGAGATCTTCATTAGGAGCTGATCTCAAAGGCAGAGATGTTTGATATTATTACTGTGAGCAAAAAAGTAAAAATTTATTTTACTACTTGTATTCTAAATTTGTCTTCCACCATTTGATTATTTTGAACTACAAAAAAAAGCAGAAGGTTTGTACCATAATTTGGTGGCTGCAGCAGTAGGACAGCAAACAGTGTGGCCAGTGAACTCTTGTTTCTTGTTACTATTTTCTTTCTTTCATTTGAAATGTCTTTTGCTTTTTCTAACACAAAATGCTTTCTGATTGCAGCAGCAGAATTTGTTGTTCATCAATAGCTTTTCTGTACCTCACAAAGCTCTCAGTCTGCTCTCTGGTAATTGATTGAATTGAAAAAAAATAAAAATCACTAGTATTTAATTACCCTTGAAATGGTCTTTATTAATTTTGAAATCAACTCACTTGACACAACACTGATGGATCTGGAGAGCTGATAAACACCTTTTAACAGGGGCCATTAGAGGAGTGCATTAAAATAATTCAGGGTGGTCAATGGCAGCTTTATTTTAAGCTTCAGTGTATTTGTTTTGCTAACACCTTGGTTATATTTGTTCAGTTGTGGCTTAAGCTGGCAAAACCATTCATCCCTGGATAACTGAAATGTTTAAACATCTCCTTTCTCTCTTGGAGCCACTGCACATTTGCTGAAAGTGGTTTGTAGAAATAATCTGAGGGGGTTTTTTGAGTTTTTAGGACAACTCAAGAAGAATTCACCTGCTGGACATGCCCTGAGCAGGGGAACCTGTTGGCTCTGTTTTCTTGCCCCTCTCACAAATCCTTGCTGTAGGCAGGTGATCAAAGCCAAATCCCTGCTCTCAGTCTCTTCATCCCCATCACTGGTAATTCACACAGAGATTGGGATAATCTGGAGTTTCTTCCCTGTGCCCCAGCCCCTCTGTGCTGTCCCACAACCTGGGTGCAGGCAGGGCTGATTTCTTTGGGGCATTCCCGAATGCCTGCCCTGCTTGTGGCATGTCAGGAACTAGAGAGTGACTGAGGCTGTGCCAGGAGCCAGGACAGCTGAAAACGTGGAAGCAGCAGCTCTGGGACATCAGAAATGAGCCTGAGAAACATTAACAAGATCAAATTCTGTAGACCTGGTTCTTTTTGTCCTTTGAAGTGGAACTGCCCAGTTTATTTCTGATATTTTGATGTTTATTTGCCTGTGTTTTTTCCTTGCCTCCTCCTTGCGGGAGGATTCTAATGGAAAGTTAATCTTTATTTTTCAGTGTTTGTTGCTGATCTGCTGGTTTATATCCCTGCAGTTATTTTATATTGTTTTTCCTTGAAAGAAACATCTGCTAAAAAAAAGGCAAGTACCTGGTGTGTGTAAATTAAACAAAGAAAACACTGTTAGTACAGAGTAGGAGTGTAACACTGAGTTAATTAACACCTAGAACACCCTGATGGCTTCCACATAAAACTGATGGCAACCACTATAACTCATATTATAGGCTTTTCACTTTAAAACATTAAAAAAGCCTTTTTTTTCTCTTATAGCAATTATTTCAATGCTTTTAATAACAAGATTTTCCATTAATTTATTACTTGAGTAGTAAAAAAAAACCATTTGTGGGGTGGTAGAAACATCTGCTAAAAAAAAGGCAAGTACCTGGTGTGTGTAAATTAAACAAAGAAAACACTGTTAGTACAGAGTAGGAGTGTAACACTGAGTTAATTAACACCTAGAACACCCTGATGGCTTCCACATAAAACTGATGGCAACCACTATAACTCATATTATAGGCTTTTCACTTTAAAACATTAAAAAAGCCTTTATTTTATACAATTATTTTAATGCTTTTAAAAACAAGATTTTCAAGATCTTAACAAGATTAATTTATTACTTGAGTAGTTAAAAAAAAAAAACCCAAAAAACATTTGTGGGGTGGCAGGGGGGGATTTGGGAGCTGCTTTGTCTTGAGCACTCCTTACATAGATTTTGGAATAACAAGTCTCCTGATTTTTGGAGTGGTTTAAGATGGGTGTAGGTGGTCTTTGAGCAGTTGTAAAGGGAAGGCAATACTCAGTATTCTCTAATGTATGGTAAATCTTTATCCTTTTTTATTCCTCAAAATATTCCTGGCAGATGATTACTTGTAGAGAATAAGATTCCTACCTACAGGATGCACCATGGAGTGGCACATTTTTGTACTGGAGCAGGAGTAGTTTCTCTGCCTAATGTCTAATTTTGGACTGATTATTTTTCCCCTCTCTTTTTTGATCCTTCTTGCCAGGTTTCCAGTGCTCTCTGCATCCTGCTTTATCCAGGCCTCATCCTTATTGACCATGGGCACTTCCAGTATCCTTGTTCTGCATGGCAATGAATTCTGTTTGTGGAATTACTGCTCCTTAGCACTTGTTAGCTGAGCATGGGGTGGCTTTGGTGTACAGAGTCATCTGGGGGCTTCTGCCCACCCCAAACAGAGATATCAAGGAAGCTGCAAGTCTGAAACATATTGGAGATAAAAATTATTGATATTGGCACAAATCAATCCCAACATGAATATCATTCTTCCCATGCCTCCAGCTCATCTCCCTGTCAGTCATTTCACTGCAGGCAGCATCAGTGGGGCTGTGACAGGGAGGAGAGTGATGGGTTGTGCTCCTGTGATTTGTGTGTGCAGAGGGAATCCCCTTAGATCTTCCTAGGATGGCAGAGCAGTGGCAGGTGGAGCTGTGCAATGTTCAGCTCTGTAAAACCTCTCCTGCCTTGGCTGCACAGCTCCAGGAGGTGACTTCAGGGCTGGCTGGTGACACCTTCACAGGGGCTTTTTGATAATGACAATCCTGCTTTTATACTGATTTTGTGCAGGAGCAGCCCGATGCTGTCAGCTCACCCCGTGCTGGAGGTGCAGGGATTTCCTGCAGATTTCTGTGCCAGCCCTGCCACTCTGATGTGACCAATGCCACCCTCTGAGCAGCTGCAGCAAGGCAGAGATTGCTTTCCCTGAGCTGCTGCACCTCTGCACGATCAGGGCCTCTCGGTGTGAGTTTGCTGATGTGAAATCAATGAGGTGTCAAATACACCTGGTGATGTGGAGTGGGAAATGTGAGTGGGCTGAGAGCTCGTGGGCAAGCTGGATGTGTTGTCACAGCTGCTTAGGTTGACAGAGGGAAAACAAAATATTGTGACATTTCTGACAATACAAGAAATACAAGGGACAGTTTACAAGGGATGGAGTGACAGGACAGGAGGGAATGGCTTCCCACTGCCAGAGGGTGGGTTTGGGTTGGATATTAGGGAGAAATTCCTCCCTGGGAGCATGGGGAGCCCTGGCACAGAGTGGCTGCCCCTGGATCCCTGGAAGTGTCCAAGGCCAGGCTGGAGCATCCTGGGACAGTGGACGGTGTCCCTGCCATGGGGTGGCACTGGATGGGCTTTAAAGTCCCTTCCAATTCAAACCAGTCTGGGAGTCTGTGTTTACTGATTTTTCTAAGTTTTTCAAAAAGCAAGTAAAAACCAAAGCTTTTGTTACAGTTTACAAAAATTACAAAACTTTGTTGCAGTTTAATAGTAAGTGTAGCTTAGACTCTTCAAAATCTTCTGAGCCTGGAAAGCTCTTTGCAAAGTCACAAGGCAGTAACATTGTTTTTAGCAACTATTACTCATTGTTTGAGCAGGATTAGCAGTCAGGGAACTGGTCATGGATGAGGGTGCCTTGTGTGTGTAACAGAATCACAAACCCTTCAGAAGTCCTTGAAGGAAATTATACATAATTTAAACACTGACATATTTGAATATTCTGCACTTATATTGTGGGAGCTGGGAGGGAAAGCTTGTGAGAGCTTTATCATTACTCATGTAAATACCAAGAAGAAAATGTTGCTTGTTGCAGAGAACTGTCACTGCCACCAAAAGCTGGGTTGGCTGAATGCCTGTGTAATTACATATGTAATTAACACACACAGAACTTGCCCTCAGATTTGCCTGGGCAAACTCTGAATCAAACTTGAAATATAAAAATTACACTTACAATGGAAGTAATTTTTTTATCTTTGGGGGCAACATAGTCACTACTGGCAATGTGTTCTTAAAGCTAACTTGGCAAAACTCATTTTACAAGCTATTTCTGCTTTCCCTCAGGGCATTGGAAGGAATTGCTGCCTTCCAGAAGAGAGATGTGTATCTTGTCCTTGACATAAAAAACCATATACAACTCAGTGAGCCTTGGCTTGGCCCTGTGGGCTGTCCTTTGTTTGTCCCAGGACTGGGACCTCCTGGGCTCCGTGGCATTTTGCTTGGCCTTAAATTATAAGCAAATGGAGCTCTACCATTCCCTGCCCTTTTTTTGCTATTTACTTGGAAAGTGCTTCAAGAAGGGACTGAAAGGAAAGGGGTAAGTGGGTTTAAAGTGTTTTGTCTTAGGAATCAGACTGGCATGGGGAATGGGGTTGTCCTTGTCTGCAGGAGGGCATTCCTGGATTCATTTCTGTGGGAGGTAGCAGTCCTGCAGGATTTGTGCCCAGCCCTGCTGGCTCTGTGCTGATGTGCTGTCCCGTTGCAGGTTGGTGCTGTTGGCTAAACTGGCAGGGACAGTGCTGGTGTCCTTCGCTGCCTGCTGGCTCCCGTTCGGCACCGACGTGGAACAAATCATGCAAGTACTCAGAAGACTCTTTCCCATTGACAGAGGCTTGTTTGAGGCATGCATGTTTTCTTCTCCCACCCTGCCCTGTCCTGTATTCTTAGATCCCTGGAGAAACCTTCAGGCTGACCTTTAGGATTTCATGGGGGAGACAGCGCAGGGCCAGTAACTCGAGACGGCTTCTTCAGCAGTCGTTTCTTGCCAGTTATTTAATCCAGTGTTTAACCCCAGCTCAGCTGGCATCTTCCAGGATATTATACCAGGAGACAACACTTATCCCATCATCAAACCCATACTTCAATCCATACATTTTTCCATTGAAATAGATTCCATAGTAATTGACAGTGTCAGAAGATGTAACCTTGAAAGTCAATGGCTTCAGCCTCTTGGGTTCTGCTCCCCTCTTTTCAATGGGGTTAATTATTTTTCTAAAACAATGTTTAAATGGTGTTTTAGATACAGCCTAGAACTTCCTTTTTGACTCACCTTGTGCAGTTTCCACAATATTTTCCAAAAGTTTTAGGCCACTGCTGCTTTTGGTTTTGCTCAGGCTGTAGACACGCCCATGCTGAAGGAGCTGAGCCTTAATCCAGTCACTCAGTTCCTCGTTTACCAAATGGCAATGCCACAGGAATTTGGGATAAAAGAAAGGGTTCTCATGTCCCAGGTCACAGGGAGTTGCTGCTGCTTTAATTGGGGTACAAGTCAATATTCCACTTTTTACAGCAGATTCTCAATTTCAGGCTTAACCCAGAAAATGAAGTTGTGAATTTTCAGGTTGTCACAAGGATTAAAGCAAATTCTCATGTAGTTTGATTAATCTTAATTATTCTTTTAAACTTTTTCAGATGTAAATAATATCACAACTGACACTTTTTCCCCCCCAAAAGTTAGTGCTGATGGACTAAAGGCAGTGGAGGTGTTCTTAGTGTATTCTCTGCTGGCTTATTTTAAAAAACCCAACAAACACCAAACAACCTCTCCAAAACACCCCCAAAAAAACAATGACCCTTTTCCTTGAGAATTTGGAATTTATAAAGGAATCATTTTGCTCAGCACACCTTTTATTGAGTACCAAGTTTAAAAATAAAATCTTTAAATGACAATAACCAACGAGTCTGAAAGAGCTGGAGGATTTTAGTCTAATATTAGCCCAAATATTTTCTGAGCTGCTCAGGGCAGTGACTTGCTGGATGCTGATGGAGATAAAATGAGAATTTGTCCACGTAAGCAGCGCTCAGTAACTTGGCCTGGGGTGTGACAGGTTCTGTGCAGCTCCCATTTGCAGCCAGGGTGTGCCAGTTCCCATTTGCAGCCCGGGAACACTTGCTGGTGGCTGGAAATTCAGGCTGGCTGTGAGGAGGAGGTTGCTGGTGCTGCCAGGGCTGTGTTCCCCGGAATCCCCGGCGGATTCCGGGCGCTGGCAGCGGGGACGGAGGGGCTCAGTTGCTGCTGGGAGTTGTGTCTACACAGCTGTGCCTCCAGCAGCTGTCTGGGGATGAGTTTCACCAGCAGGAGAGCTGCAGTTACAAATTTAATTTTGAAATAGATCCTAGCACAAGTGCTAATGTCTTTAGACTTCTTGATTTATTGGGGGTTAACTCTGTCAGTGCTAGCAGGCAGCGAGCACGGGCAGGTACGGAGGAGAAAGGATTCACACGGGCCAGGGTTTGCTCAGGGACAGTTTCACAGCCTTACTCCACAAGAGGTCTGCTCTCATGGGTTAAGTTGTCATCCTTGTGCTGAAGAACTGTTTCTCACTTACTTTAGAGCCTGTTTTAATTGGTTCTCTTGAAAATTTCCATTTTTGAAGAGCAGAATCATCCCCGGTGCATCTGAGAACTTGATGTACTCCTGCAAGTGTTACTTGCACTCTCATGGCAGAAACCCAACAATCCCCACCTCCCAAGCCCCATTGTTCCCACAAACATGAGTGTATTTATATATAACTATCACTGATTGCTGTTTCATTTCCTTCCAGGATAAAGTAGCCAATATTTGGTGCAGTCTAAGTGTCCTTATAAAGATAAAGAATGTAATATCCCCTCGAACTCAGCTGAAACTCAGGTAAGACATAACTGGAGTGCCTTAGGTAGTTTTTGTCTGCAATATTTTTTTTCAGGAGTAAATTTTCTCTAATTGTATTCTTTCCTATACTGTATTTTTCTGACAAGTCATGAAGGAGAAATACTGGGAATATTTATGACTGAAAAATTTCCTGCTTGTTTATATAGTGATTTAAGCAGCTTGGTTAAAACTGAGTTAAAATTTGCAAATTCAAAGAATTCAAGTATCTTTCAATGCTCTTAAAAGTCAGAGCTCCCAGTTCTCCTTGACTCAGTGAAGAATTCAGGTCTGGCTCTGCAGAGTGAAGTGTTAATGTCTGTAGTCCCTCACATATTAAAACTGTTTTTCTTCCCCAATCCTTTAGTTTTGCTATAACATTCCTGAGCCTGCTCCCTGCCTGTATCAAGCTCACTGTCCAGCCTTCCCTGCGAGGGTTTAAATTTGCCTTGGTGAGTGTTTGCTGTTCACTGCTCCTTGTTTTGTATCCACCACAAGCACTGGAGGGCAACCAGCAGTGCCAACAGCCCTTGTGCAGGGCACAGAGGGTGGAGCCATCAAATGCTGAAAGAATTGGTTAAAAAGTGTTTTACTTCCTCAAATCCAGGACTCTGACCTGGTCTTTAAACCCAGACTTGTTCCTTAAGCCCAGTTTTCTTTATTTAACTCTGTATTTTTATTATCTTCCTCTGAAGAGCCTTTGGAAGATTCCACACACATTTAAACCTCATCTAGAATTGGGATTTCTGCTCTTTTTGTTTGGCTTCCAAAGTGCCAAGTTTTTCCTCCTTCACTGGCTCCAAAATTCCATTAAAAATTCCCCAAATGGACATTGTGAGCTCATGAGTGGTTTGAAAATAAAATTATCCCATTTTCCAAAATGTTTGCCTTCTCTTAGTCTCATCATTGAATTGAAGCACATTGCCATGACTCCCCTGCAAAAACTGAGTTCTCCTTAAAATCAAAATTAGATGGAGCTGGGTCCAAGTTCCAGAGTTACAAGATGGTTTCTCTTTTTAGTTTTACTACAGCATTACCTAGAACTAACATTTATCCCAAGAACTGGTTGGTTTTACACATTTTTATTTGGTGGGGGAATAAAAAGACAATTTGTTTACTTTTTCTGTTGGCTGGTCTTGATGAGGAGCAAAATTTCGTGTCAAAAATGGGGGTAATTCTTACCAGGAGTGGGATTTGCCAGTGCCTGTGTGTGGGAATATTGTGATTCCTTGCTCTTGTCAGGGAAGCTGAGCAAGAGTGAGGCTCTACCTGAAGGGCTTTGGATGTTTTTCCAGAATTAGTCACAAACAAGGTGGTTTTGGTATGTGAGGGTGGTCCAGGAGCTGCTCTGGGTGCCTGGGGCTTGCACTGCAGGAAATGCAGCAGTTAATGAGAGAACTCAGCTCGTTTAGCTGCTGCCCCACGCAGAGCCTGCACCTGCAGACACCAGAGCAGAGCTTTGCTTTGCAGTCACGGGCTGACACATCTCTGCTCTCTCTCCTAAGGTCAGCTGTGCCTTGTCATTTTTCCTGTTCTCCTTTCAAGTCCATGAAAAGTCTATTCTTCTCGTGTCAGTGTAAGTAAATAATTTTTCTGTGAATGAAATTGGATCTTTTCCTCATCTTCTTATTGCATGCTGCTTTCACTTACAAATAGACCAGATTTCAACAACTCTTCACATTTGCTTTTCTAAATCACTTGTAAGTGAAGGTGTGCAAGTACAGCCAGGCTGGTCTGTCCTTTCAGTGCTGCCTGTGGGGACAGTCCCCAGCACTGCTGTTCCCTGGGGATATCCTACAGGGACTGGGAATGCTGTTTGATTAGGGAATAGTTGATATTTCTTTTTCTTCCTCTCATTCTAGCCCAGTTTGCTTACTCATAAATGAAATCCCCTTCATGGCCACATGGTTTCTACTTGTGTCAACTTTCAGGTGAGTTGGAGAAACTGTTAACAGAGCTGTAGAGACACTGGGGACAGGGGATGGAGGGACAGGACACAGGGAATGGCTTCCACTGCCAGAGGACAGGGATGGATGGGAGATTGGGAATTAGGAATTGTTCCCTGGCAGGGTGGGCAGGCCCTGGCACAGGGTGCCCAGAGCAGCTGTGGCTGCCCCTGGATCCCTGGCAGTGCCCAAGGCCAGGCTGGAGCAGCCTGGGACAGTGGGAGGTGTCAGGGTTGAAAGAGGATGAGCTTTAAGGTCTCTTCCAATGCAAACCCATCTGTGTTGGGTTTCATGGATTCCATGAAAACTCTGTTCTGCCCCAGTTAGGGATAAAGGGATGAGGATCAATTATGTACTGGTTTCCCTCCTCTCCCTGCACGCTGTGGCTCCCTGGATGCTGCTGGCCTGTCCCCTGCAGCCTGCTGCCCCTGCTGCTGAAGGACGAGCTGCTGCTGCCCTACGCCGTCACCACGCCCGCCTTCCTGGCCGTGTGCCTGGCCTCCTTCTCCATCCTGGAGAAGACCTCAGCAGAGGACCTACAGCTCAAGGCCTTTTCCCTTTCCCTCAAGGGTTATGTGTCCTGGTTTAAGTCCTTTCCCAGGATTGTCAGGAGCCTGGTAAGCAAATTTTATTCCTTTACCCCTTCCTTGCAGCTTCTCCCAGCACTGAAGTACCAGTGGAGGGGGGGCTGTCCCTTTGTTGTGCCACGTGGAAGCGTGCAGAGCAGAGTGAGGTGGCAGCTGAGCTGTCTGAGGTGTCCCATCACTCGTTGTGTTGCAGTTCCTGCTGTCCCTGTCCCTGATGGGACTCCTGTCAGTGCTCAGTGCTGCGGTGCCTCCTCCCCAGCGCCTGCCGGATCTGTTCCCTCTGGCCGTGGCCGTGGTTTCCTGCCTGCACTTCCTGCTCTTCCTGGTGTATTTTAATGTTGTCATACTCTGGGACTCCAAGAATAGAGGGCAGAAGAAAATCAGTTAATGAAGCTGAAGCTGCAGGACTGAGAGTGCTCAGTGAGAGGTGCCAGCACTGCAGAGGAGCCTGTGTGTGATGGACACAACTCGAGGAAAGCCAGGAAAAACTTTTTGCTTATTTAAACACAAAACAATCAAAGACTGTTTTAAAGGAGAAATATTTTGAAGAGCATTGGGAATGGGATTTGATTTGTTTTCTTTGGAAGTGTCATACTTTTGTTACCATTTGTTAACCTAAAATGCTTAATAAAGGACCAAATTTTGAATTAATGCTAAAATACTGTATTAGCAAAAGCAGCATGAAGTTTTCTCCTTTCCCAGGATAAAAAGCCCAAGGAAGTAGTGCAGGTCAAGAGTAAACTCGTGCCTGGCAGCACTGAAGTTGTGGTGCTGATTGCTGTATGACACAAACCTGGTTTGTGGCATCAGTCACTGTCCCCCTGTGCTGGGGGTCAGCAGCTCTGGTGTGGCTTTGAAACTGCTGCAAATCTCTTTAACAGCACTGAAAAGCCAAAACTTTTGGTTCTACTGCAATAAAAGCTGAGGTGCTGCAGTGCAGTTTGAAAATACCCAAACCCCTTATTAAATTGCACAGCAATTTGCAGATGTAAACTGAACTCAACTCTGCAATTTCTCCCCGGGCACAGCTCAGCCTCCAAAGCCAATAATTCAGAAAATACAAATTGATTGAGTAATTATAAACATAACAAAGCATGGAGGAAGAAAATAAATCATAAAGCAATTTAGGGTTGTATAGTTTAATTAGGAGTCAGTCTACCCTTTTTTTTCTTTCTGTATCTATATATAAATATAAAAGAAGCTCCCCCCTTGTTTAAAGGCTTCCCCTGTCACATTCCAGGCTGTCACTGCCCTCAGCCTCAGTGTGTGAATCAGCTGTTCTGGGAACTTCCAGCTGGGCCAGTTCTGAGCCCTGGCACTGGACTCCCACAAGCTCCGTGTATTTGTGCACTTTTTTCCAGGCTTATTTGTTGTGGAAAAAATACCCCCAGGCAACACTGCATCCCTGGAAGCTCAGAGAGAGTGGAAAAGGGGCTCTGGATAGGAAATAGAAGGATATTGGTTCAGTTTCCCTACACTGCAACACTTCCCTATAAAACAACAAAAGTTCCATCTTTTCACAAGGATTTAGGATTTTCTGGGTCTGACTCTTAACTGTGGCATGCAAGAGCTCTGCCCACAGCACGGCCTTTCTGCAAGTGTGGGCTGAGTGGCACTGAGGGGACAGAAAAAGGACACAAAATAGGAATCTTTGTCTCCAGAGGCTGTGAAATCCCAAAGCCACCGTGTTTTCCCCCAAGGAACGGCTGCCTGAGGAAGGGCTGTACCGTGGGACAGGGAAATGAAGGTGGATGGAAGCAGAGGGAGCCCAGGGTCTCATTAGCCCCAGCAGAGCCCAGGCCCATCCTTCCCCGTACCCAAACATTAGTTTTGGGTGTATCCCTTTCCTTTGTCCTTGAGGTGGCCTCGGGGGGTGATAAAGTGAGAGTCACCCGATCCACCTTGTGTGGAACTGGAAATGGTTCTTAACAGCCCCAGCTGCTTCAGAGGCAAAAGCCTGGTGCAGCAGGAGGTCACAGCCAGAGTGCTCAGAGGCTGGGCTGTGCAGGAGCTCGCTGTGCAACTCCCGTCTCCCTGAAAACGCCCCATTCATATCTGCCATGGGGGAGTTCTGCTGTGCTCACTGCTGGCCATCAGCACCTTTGCTCTTGGTTCCTGAACAAGTTGGGTGCTGTTCTGCCAGGACTGCCCAAAACAGCTCCATTTAGACCAGCACAGTTGGTTCCAGACTCATCTGAGATCAATCATTATTTAATTTCCAGCTCCAGAGGTTATAGAAACTCTGGCTGGCTCAGGGACCCTCAGGGCTGGGGCACCTCACACACACACAGCCCCCAGCTGAAAGCCTGGCAGAGCAGGGGAAATGAGAGCAGCTGCCACAATTCCCTCAAACACTTCCTCACCTTCTTCCCAGTCGGACTGCACAGGCAGCGAAGTGCAAAACCATTTTTATTAATTGAACACTCCCAAAGCTTGAGTGTGTGTGTGCTCAGCCACACCCTGAACACCTTTATCACGCTGGTGCTCAGAATTTTAGTTGTAAAAATCAGTTTATTTGAGGTGGTAGAAAGGACATTCAAGTGTTTGTGTTTATGCTGGACTTTGATAAGCATAAATTATTTTACTGCATTTTTTCAGACTAATTGCGTGGATTTGAGAGGCAGGGGATTCATTTGGCTGGAGGGGTGAGGCTGAGGAGGAGGAAAGAGAAAAGCAGCTGGTTTATAAAAAAGGTTGGTTTATATAAAACAGCTCTGCTGCTACAGCATTAAATGCCAAAACTAAACTCCAATGTTGACCTAAAAGCAAATGTTACCAGAGCCCTGTGTCAGTGCTGGGTGGGAGGCTGAGGCCTTTTTACCCTGGGGTTGGGGTTGACTTTAGAGGAACCCTCACGTGGGTGACAGATCTGTGCCCAGCCATGGCAGCACCAGCAGGGAAAGTGTTTGCAAGCAACTAAAACACATCCCGGGTGGGAATAACTAACTGCTGGCACTGCAGAGCTCCCTCCAGCCCTGGAGCCCAGGCAGTGCTGGAGAAGCCCCCCAGAGCCCACAGCACCACCCAGCACCAGCCCCACGGGCACAGGGCTGCACAGCACCCGGGGTGGATTATTTACATTGAGATTATCTGGTTGTGCACATTGTTAAGTTGAAATAGATGCCAGAAATGTTATCTGGACGTGCACCTGCCCGGCGCAGCGAGCGCTCCCCAGCTGGGATTTGCTGGGGAGATTGGTTTACACTCAGTTCTTCGCTCCTTTTAAGTCCAGTCCAGCAGATGGAGAAGTTTGGGTTGATGTGGAATGCATTTTTCACATAATGCCTGTGGGGAGATGAGGAATGACTAAAATAAATAGCAATTAGACAGCAGCATCATCGTGCATGGGATCTGTTTGGAGTTATGGGTGTGATGTCCAGTAAAACACACACAGAGCCTCAGGCAAGGCAGGGCACCAGCCCCTCTGCCTGGAGCTGCAGGGACATTTGGGGATGTTTTAAGGAACAAGGACAAGCAGCCAAAGCAGCAACAAGTTGGGGAGAAACAGCACAGGATGTTTCAGTGAGGGAGCAGAGCTTCTAGAGATTCTTTGTCACGGTGCTCAACAAACCAGGAACAAATCCCAAGGGCAGAGAACACCTGATTCCCCTCAGGGCAGCCTGCAGGACATCCCAGAGCTCCCTGCACATGCTTTACAAGAAGTACCTTGGTCCTGGTCACTCTGGCTATGCCTTGGTGCTGGGCAAGGCCGAGAGCAGGCCCAGGGGCTCCTTCCTTCTGTCCAGGAATGAGGTGAGGAATGCAGCACTCCCGGCAGCCTGGATGTGCTCTGTGAACAAGGAAAACACAGAAACGTGGGATGTGATAGACAACAGTGGTGTGATGACAGAATTTGTGCAAATCCTGCCTCAAACACGAGTTAAATGAGTTGCTGTGGTGGTTAAAGAACCCAGCACCCCTTTTCCTTCACACGGTGTCTCAGCAGGGATTTCAGAGCTTGTCCTGGTGAGTGGCTGCACCTGTGTTCCATCACTGGCAGTGATGGCAAAGCAGAACAGAATGTGCTACCAGGATGAGAAGCTGGTGCTGCCTTTTGCTATCAATAATAAAAGAACAAATAAGAATCCCCAAGGGCTCTGCCAGCAGAGCCCAATCAGGGATTGCAGCAGAGGAACTCCCACCCTGGATCACCCACAGCCATTCCTGGATCACCCACAGCCACACAGAGTCACCCACAGCCATCCCTGGATCACCCACAGCCACCCCAGAGTCACCCACAGCCACCATCGATCACCCACAGCCACCCAGAGTCACCCACAGCCACCCTGGATCACCCACAGCCACCCAGAGTCACCCACAGCCAATCCCTGGATCACCCACAGCCACCCAGAGTCACCCACACCTGGGGCCGCAGCCGGGCGGGGCCGGGCCGGGTGAGGGTGAGCAGGTGGCTGGGACAGGCACAGGAAAAGTGTGCAAGGGCAGAAAGGAACTCGGGGAATGAGAACATGTGGGGAAGGCTCTGGGAGCAGGTGCCTGTGAGTGCCAGGGCTGCCAAATGTCCCTGCAGCAGATGAGCGGCTCTGCTGGAGCACCCTGAGGGCTGCTGGCTCTGGGGTGTTTGATTCCCCAGAGGAAGGGGTAAGGGAGAATTCAGGATGACATGGAACACACAGAGGGGATTTCCAGCAGCTTGAGCCTCTCAGCTGCACACAAACCCAGCTGGGGAGGGCAGCAAACCCCACAGCCACGGGGCTGCTGGGGCAGGGCCTCCTCAGCTCCCCCCAGCTGGCACACTGCTTCCACGGGGGTCTCACACTGCCAGGGAGTGACTGCACACCAGCACCTGCCCCTGGGCTGGGCAGCCTCCCCTGGGGCTGAGCAGACCAAGCCCAGGCTCTGTCCTAAGCCAGGACTCACAAGGTTACTCCAGAGAAAGGAATCCAATCCAGCTTGGCCTCAGGTACCACTTTCTAGCTTTATTCCTAACGAACTTCATTTGTTCACACAAATTATCAACCAAAAAACCCCACAACTGCTCACAACAGGAAACTGTCCAATCTTGTATGGCAAGTAACAGGAAGAAGGTTCAGTTACCAGCTGCTTTACTTGTGCTGAATGCAATTCCATAAAGGAAAGGACTGATTTCCCTTTAACCACAGATTGCAGCATTGCACTGTGTGCTGAGTAAAGAACCCAAACGTGCCATGGCCACCATGCTGAGCTCTGCCCAGCACTCTGAGCTCTCCTGAAAAACAGACGCTGCTCAGATTCACAAAAGAGAAATACCATGGACTCAGCTTTGTTTTCCAAACAAAGAACCCTGGAATGGTTTGGGTTGGAAGGGACTGTAAAGCCCACCCAGAGCCAGCCCTGCCATGGCAGGGACACCTCCCACTGTCCCAGGCTGCTCCAGGCTGGCCCTGGGCACTGCCAGGGATCCAGGGGCAGCCACAGCTGCTCTGGGCACCAGTGCCAGGGCCTGCCCACCCTGCCAGGGAACAATTCCTTATTCCCAATATCCCATCCAACCCTGCCTCACCTCTGAGTGAGCTGTTCTGAACAACCCCAACAACCTTTCTCTCAGGGTTTTTCCGTGCAGAGCTCCTAAGTTCAGCTCCATCAAACCAAAGAGAGCATTCAGGAACTCCAGGGTGAGGGTGGCAGTGAGCAGAGCAGCTGGAAAGGGCTCAGGGAGGGGACCAGGAGGTGCCTGGGCTGTGGCAGAAGGGCTGGCTGCTGCAGGCCCAGCCTGTTGCTCTCCTCAGCTCCAGTTTTAGGGTTCCCAGGGTCAGCAGTGGCTGGAGTCCCCCAGACCTGCTCCAGAGGGTTGGCACAGCCATCCCTGCCCTTGGACCACACAGGCACTAAAAGGGCTCAATCTTCCCAAGTTTCCTTTCCCCTCCAAGTTCTCCCACCATCCTCTCCCAACTTTGACTGCTCTAAAACATTTACAGATCTAAAAAGCAGAGAGAAAAAAAATGTTCACCTGTCGGGTGATATAAAACCAATCTTCTACTAAATGTGCCAGAATAATTTTTCTCCACCTCAACCACAGTTAAAACCTTCAGTCTATTCATTACTGTCTTTTTATAGTATTTTTATTTAATAAAACCTATTAAGACTACCATACAAATCTCTTTACTTATGCTTTTATCTTTTAACTGATCAATTTTTATATTGCTGACATCCCTTCTTCACCATTTGCTCATTTAAAAATTCATAGTATATGAGCTATGTCTCTGGAGAAAACGTCTATAAAATTTGTTACAGCTGGCAAATGTGTATGAGTCAGTGATAGCACATGACTAAATGCTTCACAGAAAATAAAATTTGTTTCTGTAGTAAGCAGAACTGTTTAAATGTTATTTATTTTTATGTTTCAAAGAAAATATATTGTGAAGTGCTGCATTGATTTAATACGCAGCAATGTCTGTGTACACGCTGTACTGGGGAAATTTATGAAACCTTTGCACAACTCCTTTAATTGAATTTTCCAAATCTCTCACCACACACAAATAATCAATATCTTCTGCAGAGAAAACCAGTCAGAATTATTACAGTCTTTCTTTTCAATTTTGTTGTCATCAGCACATACAGAGCACCTGGATATTTGTAATGTCTGGATAGCAAGTTATTTACACCTCTTAAACATATAATTGCTACTAAGTGAGTCCAAACTAATGTTTCTTTTCTTTTTTATTTAAAATAATTATATTCATGGGAGAAAGCAGTATTTATTCTCATGTAGGAGTTGCTACATGTTGGAAGAACTACAATTCTTTTGAATTTTTCATTAAGCTTAATACTCTAAACTAGATCCACCAGAATTAAAAATTCATAGCTGTTGCATCTCTAAAAAGGCACCTAGGAAAATAGAGTGTAAAAACAAGGGTGAAATCTGTGAATAAATGGGGCTGACACCTAAATCCAAAATGCAGGTTGACAGCTCTCTGTGTACTTGTCTGGGGCCTCCAGTCATATGTCTCATGTGCATTTCTGTATCTGCCACTGCAGTTAATGGCTTAATATTTCATCTGCATAGCCCAGGGTGTTCCATCACTGCAGAGCCCTGGAGCTGCCCCCTCTCCTTCCTTCCATCCCAAACTCCTCGTGCTGCTGGGCCCACACCCCACACTCCTCCAGCCTCAGGCTGTTGGGAAAATTCAGGTGTGGGTACAGCCCCAGGGCCCCAAATCCTGCTGGGAAGGAGCAGTGGGGAGCTCCCCCAGCTCCTGGGGCCGGCAGTGGACAGGATTCCTCACCTGTGCTGGGAAATGCAGCCTGGGGGGGCCGGGCTCAGTGGGATCTGTTCCCTCTCCTCCTCTGGGAGGGACCCCCACGGGCACAAACTCAAACCCACAGAATGAGGAGACATGAATTCAAGTTTAGCCCGAGCAACAACAGCTTTTCATGCCCAAGACACAAACTGGGCAAACCACACCCCCCTGGGGCAATCCCCACTGAGTGAGGAGCTGAGATCAGCCCTGCCCAGGTGAGATGGTAGGAAAGCCCCAGGAGCACAAACAGGGATGTTCTTCCACAGGGAAGGGCACAGGAACAAGGCCAGATCCCTCCAGTGTTACAATTTTTGCACAACCAGTTCCCAAACTCACTTTTCCCAGCAAAGGGGAAATGGCATTTCTTCTCTGTAAGTAAATACAAAGTTGGGATGAGGAAAATAGATGTGGTTTTTAGGTTAGGGTTTCACAGTTGGAAAAATCCACTGCTGCATTCCCCTTTTCCTTAAAAGATCTCCAAGGAGGAGGAAGGAAAGGTGGGGCAGACACCCACATACATCTAAAGGTCAACAAATCTGTAACACTTGATTTGGGAATGATGTGAAAATAAACCCCCAGCAACCACCAGAGCCAAGTGGTTTAGTCTTAGGACACCCAAATTCTGCACTCAAACTCTCACAAAATGAAATAAAAGGTGGAATTCTGTATTTTTACCTTTTACCTGGTTCAAGAAGGAGCTCTGATTATTAAGGATGTGTTTATATTTTGCAGTGGTTGTGAAAGGGGATTTGTGTTTTAAAATAAATGCAGTTTTCAAAACTGGACTGGCAGGTGGAAACTCGGGAGTTTTGGTCCCTGATTTCTCAGCTTTGCTTTCATCACTGACTTCAAGTGGCATGGAATAAATTCCATGCAGTTAACTCTGATCCAGTCTCCTGGAAAGCCACCACTACTGTCCCAAGAGCACAAACCTCAGCCCCTTGTATTCACCCCACCATGAAAGCTGGGAATGCTCAGAAGTCAGAGAGGATCAGATTTGCCCCTGGGCTCAGCAGGATGAACAGCCCACAGCAAAGGAAGTGTTTTTTATTCCACCACAGCCTGGACAGAGTTTTCTTCACCACTGCAAGTATTTGATCTCTGGAACACTCTCACGGGCAGCAGCCATGGTTTGTGTCAGGGTTTTGGGGAAGCAAAGTGTCCCTGTCCTTTGTAACAGCCAGCTGGAGCAGCTTCCCCTTCAGAACCTTCACTCCTGGAATCTCCAAACCTATGAAATCTTCCTTTAAAAAGTGCACATCCCAACCTGCACATCCATTCTCAGCACGTTCTGGACTCCCAGACACTGACTCGATTCATCTCTTGGCAGTTGTTTTACAATTTGCTTACTTTTTGTTCAAAAACATTTTGTTTACTGTAAATTCAAGTCATGGGCAAACAATGATGCCCTTTTTCCATGCTGGTCACCCAAAATGATAAACTGAGCTGTGCACAAGGCTGCCCATTGAGCCAGGAATGTTTTGTATGAAGTTGTTTTAAGAGGAGGTCGTTTATGTAAAGTAAATAAATTTCATGCCTCACCATGTGATGATAATGTGACATTCCATCTGGACCAAGCCATAGAACAGTCATAAGTTTTAAGCCTTGCCATAACTAATTAAAAATAATTATGAAAAACCCACATCTGAAACTAAAAGGCAAAGAAAAACATCTACAGATGCTTCTCTTTGATCACAAACTTCTCTGCCTCTCCCGCTACTGCATTTTCAAGACTGCAAGATTGAATTTATTCTTTGTGAAAGCAAATCTGACACTGGAACTTCATCAAAATCGCTCAGCTTAAACTTGGAATTTTATTTTCCACCCTACCTTCACAAAATATCTCTCATCTAAGCAGCCTGGCTGTGTGTTTGGGGCTAGGGGCTGCGCTCTGGAGCAGAGCTGGAGCTCCAGTGTTGTGTGGTGAGCAGCGAGGAGCAGAGCACAAAGGAGGCAGGGACTGTTCCCAGCATTCCAGCCCTGCCACCAGGAGCTGCAGCAGGAGGACACAGGGAGCTGTAAATCACCACCTGCACACTGCACAAATCAGCCCAATTCCCTCCCAAGTGCTGTCACTCCTTTTCATTTGCAGCTAATCTGCTGCAGCCCAGCAAATCTAAGCTTGATCAATTTTCTGTCCTTTAAGAGAATTCCCCACAGAAGAGATGCCACCACTGCTCCTGGTTTTGGGTTTGCTCTGCTTTCAGATAGAAAGTGTGAAGATAACAGAAATATCAGAATATCCCTGGGGGATGGTTGTTGATTTTACTGAGTGTGAGGGAATTAAACTGTCCTGAGTGTGTCCCCTTCCCTCCTGCCAAGGCACTAAAGCAGCTGGGGATGCAACACCACCAGCTTCAAATATTTTCACAGCACTGGTTATGAAGAAACCCCAGAGCTGGGATTTCACAGCCCCCTGGAGTGGGTGAAATACCCCACAAAATACACAAAGTGAAAAAGGTTTTGCTGCAAGATTGTGGCACTGAAAACACAGTGGGAGGGAGGAGGATGAGGAAGAACAAGGATAGCTGGGATATACAAAGAGTATGGAAAATCTTCTGGACCATGCCACAAGAGCAAGGCCATGAATGATTCCTCCTCCTTGCACAGTCTCATGGGGAAATACCCAATACAACGAAAATAGCAGCAAACATTCAATTTACATTTGCAGACCATTCAGGAGAAACACATTTGATTATCATCGTTTTCATATCCTAAAGGTTACCCAACTTATTGCAAGTGAAAAGGACTGAAAAGAAATCAAGCAAAAGGAATCAAAACATCTGTTACACAGGAGTTATGAAGAGTTTCTTACCTCGGGCAGGGACTTTTCCATGGCTTGCTTTCAACAGCTGCAGTTTTTCTGCTTGACTCACTAGTGAAGAAATAAATCCAAAATCAACAAATGTTGCCCCAGAGCTTTCAAAGAAAATAATACCTCTGCTGCCTCCTTCACTTTCAAGGCATTTCAAGGAAAAAAACCCTCTTGTATACGTAACTGGTGCTCAAAAAAATTAACAAGAATTTTCAAAATTCAGAGAATTCTGACAAGGTTTCCTTCCAAGCCTCATCCCATATTTTGTTCTAATTTTTTCTTTCCCTAGTGCTGCCATAGTTCCTAATTCAGAGATGGGGGAAGGATGCTTCTTTCCCAAGGAGCTGAGGGAAAGAGTGGACACAGGAGAGGCAATAAGAGGTCTGAGCTGTCCTTTGGGCTGGCTGTCTGTCTGTCCCACCCCGATGGAAACCCAGACTGTTCCCAGGTGACTCCACCGTGGCTCAGAAAGGATCTGGCACTACAGTGGGAACAGGGCACTGCAAGCCCACGCAGAAGGGAAATGGAATGAGCTTTGGAATACGAGTCAGGGAAGAAATGGCAATTGAAACACCAGCACGAGATGCATCAATTCCACTGTTTGGGAAGAAATTTTCTCTGGCACCTGTGGCTTTACTGTCCACCTGTTCCCAACTGCCAAAAGCAGCAGCCCAGGCACTCCAGGTTTGCTTTCTGGGCTCCTTCGGAAAAGTATTTCAGATGTGGCAGCTGTGAAGTCCCCTTATCCCAACACAACAAGCATCTGGAATGTCCATCGTTTCAAGACACATGAATAGCCATTTTTAAAGCCTGGAAATTTATATTCAGCCTAATCCTGCTGACAGGCAAACAAACAAACAAACCAACTTCCTCGGAAGGGGAGAAGAAAGGCCAAGCAATCCAAGTGCAAACGTTCAGCCTAATCCCCACCTAAGTACCCACTAAGTATCTAACTATTTACTGACCATTTCCATCAGAAAAGGTGTTGCTTTTCCAGGTTTTCCCTCCCCAGTGTGCCTGGCTTTTATGTCCCTGCTGGATGCACCGGGACACTTGAAGTGCATTTTCCTGAGTCCTGGGGAGTACCCAAGGGAACATCTGGAGTGATCCCTGGTAAATGTTCCAAGGAGATAAATAAATGTACTGAACCCCCTCCTCACCCAACGCCTGGGTTTTCTGCAGTTCAGCACTCAGCACACAGGACGAGTGTGAGACTCCGAGGATATTTTCCAGCTCTCTACTGCCCTCCAAAGCCTGGAAAACCACAATTAAAATCATTATTAAATCCCATTCTCAATATCTACTCCATATCTACAACATACCAAAACCAAATTGGAAATTGTTCATAAGCTCTAAATCCTTCCTTTTCTAAATAAACATTGTAATTAAAATATTTTCAATTAGTATCATTGTATTTTGTTTTTTTTTTTTTTTAAATAAAACCTTGTCCACATGAAAGAAATCAACACAGTCCTCTGAGTACACTGAATTATTTCTCAACTATTGATGTACAGCAATGAACCTTGTGCTAAATTTAGTCAGGAAACAAAATGGGAAAAAAAAAGAGAGCAGTGATTTGCATTTTAACATGTATTGGACTATTAAATAATGATACTTTAGTGGTAAACTAAATGGTACAATCACTTCAACACAAAAGGATCTTTATCTTCAAAGACATAAAAATCTATGCAGTTAATTCATATTTCAAGTTATAATAATGGAGAACTACCTCATATTGGTTCTATTTGTGTACAAATTAAAAACTGAGGACATGGAAAAGCAACTCTTCTGGTTTAAAAAATCCAATACGTTTTTGAGTTTTTGTGCATTTTGTGGGTTTCCAAGTCCAACTTGCCTGGTTTCAAGTCTTTTATTTGTTTCCCTACCCCTTCAAAGTCAAATGTTGAATAAAAAAACCCTAATTTTGCTTTCAAATTCTATATTAGAAGTAGTGTAAAAGACAAATCAATGTAAACCAGACCTTCAGGCTTGTCAGATTTGCTCTTAGTTTCAGAATTCTGGGCAAGGAATTTCTCACTTGGGAGTGCAGTTGCAGGAACCTGTGTAAAAAAGGTAAAACAATTCCAATTATCCACATCCCCACTCACTGAAAATCCATGTTTGCAATGTTTCCCAGAGTTTTTTCTCATTGGAATGGGGATGGATCCAGTTCAGCTGTGAGGATTTATTTAGTGTACTGGACACTGTATTTTCCACCTGTAAAATTAAGTGTATGGAAGTTCAAATGAATATTAAGTGTAGGTGTTGGTTTAGACATGTTTTTGTAAGAATGTCACTGCTGGTCTCCTGCAAACCTTTTAAAAACATTCTGAATTATTGAATGCAAACATTTCCATGTCAATGAGGCCTCTAATTACTCCAATTGTTCTGTAATTCCGGGTTCCTGTCACTAAGAGATGAGGCTGGATGTGTTGACCAAGGGATTCACTGAATCACAAAAAAAAACCCCAATTAATCAATTTACAGTTTCACACCGGTATAATGTTAATATTTTATTTTCCACTGCTTAAATATCATCCAAACAACCCGTCCAGCTCCACAACTTGGAAAACACCATCCTGCACTGAAGGAATTTCAGCCTAATGATGCGGGAAAACATCCAGCAGAGGCAAAAACCCCAGGAAACAAATTGTGAGTTCAACTGCAAGAATGAAAAGGAAGAGCCACAACTTCAAACATAATATTTAGGCAAATAAACGTCACAGTTATCGTCTGGTGGTGAAAAAGAGATGCAATCACAGCCCTGCACCCATAACAAACTTCAAACTGAATGCACTTACACATCGTGCTCTGTTTGAGGCTGCCCTCTCCTGGACAATCCGCTGTTGGAATCGCTCTGCTCATTCCCATCTCCTCGGAAAAAGAGACACAATAAGGATAAAAATCAGATGTGCGGTATTTGAAGCACCTGAAGAAGGAGTCGGTGTGAACCTTGAGTGCTGAGTGATCTTCTGAGAAGAGGAAAAACCTCAAAGTTGCCTTGGAAAGCAGGACTTGGAATGAACCACAGTAAATTATTTATCATTTACACTTTTGGAATTTGACCTCTCCTCAGTTTCTGGAAACCTTGGGATTACAGAATTAATATCTGGAAGTTAGAATCATCCTGGCAGATATTTACTGTGCTCTTCCAGGAGCTTTTTATCCTATTAACTGCAGATTAACATCGAGCATTATCCTGAAAATGCTGGAATGACTGAGCTATGGAATTCCCATTTCCCTTTATAAAAACTGCCTGGCCCCAAGTCCATTTCCTAATCAACCACAAAGATACTGGGAATTGCTTCCAAAGTGCTCTACTGACAATATAATATTCCAGTCTGGCATGGGATGGATGGGGCAGGACAAATGTGACCTCTGACCACAAAAGACACTCTGAATTTACATGACTTATCCATTCCCACAGGAATCAGATCAGAACAAAACCAGATTAAAATTTTAGCTTGTCTATCAATACTTGTTCCAGCAATAAAAAAGTCACATCTGACTATCAGAAATGATTTAATTGTGGCTTAAGTTGAAGACATCACAAAACAGGGGGATTTTCTAAATTCACCTTGAAGTGAAACATTTGGAATTTACCATGGGCTTAACAAATGTACAGATCCCAGACAGACCCTGTGGAATGAGGAGCTTTCCACATTTCATTGTAATAAATCTCCTTCCTGCCATCAGACTGAAAAAAAGAGACCACACTCAGCATTAAACACTTTGATTTCTTCTTGTTAGATCTAAATTATTACATCCAAGTCTCAGCACTCAAGGATAAATTAACTTTTAATTTTAATATTTTGTAAAACATTTAGAAACACTTCAGGATGACAAAGTGCTACAAAAGTTTAAGCTTTAATACAGTAGCTAAAAGTTAAGACCCTCAAAGATTTCATTTTAAATCTAAGTAGTCAATAGAACTTGGACTTAAATCAGTCATCAATTATCAAACAGGTCATACTTTTGGACTAGTACTGTGGATTTTTAGGAGAGCAGAAATTGTGGGTTTAAATGGACAGCCTGGAACCTGGGATTTAATAATTATACAGCACCATCTTGTAGCTGTATGAACACAGGGGGAAAAAAGACTGGCAGCAGGATAAAGAATTAGGATAAAATATAAAATCCTGAAGGGAAACTCCACTTTTGCAGATCCATCAGGAGAGGATATGGTGCAACAGCTAAAATCTGCAGACACCCAGATGAATTTCCAACAGTGGCTGTTTCACCTTGCTCAGAATATTTTTACTCAACATAATTCATAAATGTTGGTGAGGTCTCAATTACTGTACATGAATTCCAAAACCTCTGGGAAATAAAAAAATTTGTAACCCAACAAGAACCAGTGGCTAAAAATTAAAGCCAGACAAATTCAAAATCAGACAGGTGATTTTTTCTTAATAACTAAAACAATTGAACAAGGAATTTGCTAACAATGAAAGTTATGCATTTATTATTATTATTATTATTATTATTATTATTATTATTATTGTTGTTGTTGTTGTTGTTATCAAGACTTAACCATCTTTTCTAGATGTTAAGGTTTTTTATTTCCTTGTACTGCAAGGAAATAAAAGCTCTGCAGGGAAAGATGACAAAAGGTCCCTCTGTATTCTTCTTTTTAAAATAAAAAAGTTACACCAGGTGACCTGAAGGTTCCTCAACACTTAAAAGAGGCCACAACCACAATATTTTTATACAGCCATAAAAGCAGCTCAGTCTAGTGAAAATCTGCTTCTTGAGCAGTCAGAGTCAAAAGCTGTGACTGTGGAACTAAGTGAACATTCATCCTAAAGTGAACTGGAAATAATATCATTATAATCTTACAAAGGTGTATTTTCTGAGAGCTGATGACATTCGGTGTAATGTAAATTAAAAATTGTCTCACTCAGTTGTTTTATAAACATCCTCAAGATTCACACTGAAAAAAATTCTAGCTTTAAGTCCCAACTTTGGCTTCTCCAGAAGAGATTCTTGGAGAGGAAAGAGAAATCAAATCTAGCAGATGGGAGAGAAGTCCCTAAACACAGCAGGAAAAAGCTGCAGTAAGAAAGAGGGAATGTTCAGCTCACCCTCTGCTGGGGCACTGCTGGGGTTTTGTGCCCCATCACTGGTGGGAGAGGAGCAGGGACTCAGCTGGCACGTGCCTGTGGTCGGGGAGTAGAAGTTCAGGTTGCTCCTTTTGGCCTTCTGGGGGGTTGCATCAGGCACCTGAAATGGAGAAAAATACAAAAAAAAGTCCAGATGCAGATGAGTATTGACAAAACCACTCTGAACATTTTATTTTTTTTATCTTTCCCCTAAGTAATTCCTGGCTTTATGCATTCCCACTATGGAAAGCCCATGTTAAAAGTTGTGGTGGGGTGACTTTGTGCTCGTCAAGCTTCTCTATCACTCCCTCCTCTCAATAAGATTAGTTTGACTCTAAAAACTAAAAAATCCTTTCAAACACGTTGTCTCCCAGGTTCCATACAGAAAAATATGTGTTTTCCAGGGGTTTAGGAATTCTGGCATGATCACCTCGATGTCTGGGGATTTTAAAGCAGTCAAACCAAGTTATTATTTTTCTTCCAGTAATGAGTATTTAAGACACAAATATTTTTAGATTCGAATTGTATCAAAAGTTATTTCTAATAATTTTTTTAAATTTAATTTTTTTAATTGAAAAAATCTAAAGTGAGTCCCTTAAATCCAAAATTTTGTCTGTGGTTCAGGGTTTCAATATGTCTAATAATGCAAGAGGAATTATTTAATGATGTTAAAGGATTTGTGCAGAGAAGTTTTCAGAGGAACAAGTCTGCAGTGCTGGAAAATTGACTGGGATTATCTGGGACAGGCTCTAGCATGGATGCTGAATTGCAAGGATGAGAAACTGGGATTTTCTGCACATATCATGTACAGAAATTAAAAAAAACAACCCAAACCTTTACTTCACAACTCACAAGTGCTACTGCTGGTCATCAGTAGTGGCACTTACAGCAGAGTTTAAAAGATTTTAATGCTGCCCACTTGCCTCTGCCTTGTTTTAGTCTCAAATACCTTAAATATTTTCACACCTCTCATTTATATTCTTGTTCCAGTCTAGCAGCATTTAAACTTCACCTGATGGAATTCCTCACTCTGTCTTGCCACATTCAAGCAGATTAAAGAAATGCTTCCAACAATCTTTAAAATAAATATTAATTGAAGCATCAATGCCAATTTAGGGATTAACATGTCACCCTGAATCTCCTTTTCAAGAGGGAAAATCTCCAAAGATTTCAGACTATTTTTCCTGTTTGAACAGCAGTCATCTTACTCACTTCTGGATATGGATAGGGTTATTTTAAACAAAATTCCTGCAGCACTTACAAGAACAGTTTTTATTTGTCAGTAAGATTTTCTCCTCCAGGAAGAATTTTACTCCAGTTATGCAATTTTTTAACAATACCACACTAAGATTCCAAAAATCTAAAAATACTCATTCCTGATCTGGTTAGTTCATGAACATTTTGATCCATGGAATGAGGAACTCTTGATAAAAACAGGAAAGGAATGAGAGAAACAGCAAAGATTAAGCACACATTTCACCCAGACCATGAGTTCACTACTTCCTGTTCCTTCTTTCCTTCTATAAAGTTATTTAATTTAAATCTTTGACATGCATCTATAGGAGACATTGTGTGAACTAAAAATCAGTGTAAAGGCACATCCCTGAGCCTCCACTAAAAGTTTCTGTCATTCAGGTGGGCTTCTCCTCAGCTCTTTGCTGCACAAGAACCTGACTGCAGGTAAGCATGGAGTAACTCTTTTTATCTCATGGGAAGGGATGGATTTAGGGCAGGAAAAGCATTCCATGGAATTTCAGCTGGACCACTTGCCTACAAAAATGTTACTGCAGCCCAAGAAACAGCTGCAAAATTACAGCCACAGCTGCATTCTGAGCAGAACAAGTTGGGTAATGGTACGCTAAGCTGCTAAGTAAACTGTTAATGATTTTTTTTTTTTTTGGTGCCACTGCGGTATTTTGCGACCTCTGTTGAAATTTTCAAAAAATAACTATCTGGAATTTTTTAAAATGCCCAATTTCTGCCTTGCTCAATACCACCGAGGCCTCCAAATATGTGCTGCATATACAAAAACCTCTTCAAAACGACCCAGGCTTGGAGATTTATTGGGAGCTCGTTTGCTGACCCGCTCTTTCTCTCTGTACTTCTCCAAAATTGTCCTTCCTTTGCACCCTGCCATCCTCCCCAGCTCCTGTGCCCTGCTGGCTGCAGCAAGAGCCACCGTGGGAGGTAATAAACTGACATATGTCACGACATGCTGGTGCCTGGGAGGATGCTGGAGCTGCATTTACAACAAATAACAGCACCAGTACGATTTTATTTTGGTTGTGATAACTGCGGTGAAATTGATGGCAGCGTTAGGAGTTTATTGTTTCATTATGCCAGATTAGCTGAGGGAGGTAATTACAGCCCTGACATGAAAATGCCTTTAATGTTTTCATTTCAATTTTGCAGTTTCTAATATGCAGATTACAGCATTATCATAATTCCATATTGTCACATGTACAATTACATGGCAGAACGTTTGCTTCCCAGGATAATGGAGCTAATTTCTAATAAATGATTTCACCAAGGATCTTAACTCATTCAGCTCTTGGGGAAATAGTGGTGGCAATAACAATATGCACATTTTTCAAGTGATTCATGCAGATGTACATTACTTAACGCCAGGCAGTTCTGTGACAAATGAAATACAATCAATTTTATACTAATATTTGCAGCAGTAATTTTGTGCTTTAAGATTTGCCCAGACAACATCCAATCTGTAACAACATAAAGGCAGCTAAAATGAAATAGATTGTTTATATCCACATTTATTTTTGCACACAGATATACATACATCTATATTTATACAGCCCAGATGGCTCCAGACACCAAAAAATACTTACATTATCTTTTTTAACAGTGTCCAAATTTAATGCTCTCTTAACCCTGCAAGAGAAAAACATGGACAGGTTTTATGCTCATGTAGACACAAAGATTTCTGTTAGTAAGGTCTATAATTGATAATCCTAAAGACAGTTTCCTTTTTTGGTTTCACATTTACTGATGGCATCCAAAGCAAATCCATTCCCTGAACGTTGCTTGTTTAGAAGGATAAAGTGTTTGCCTAAGAAAATCTGATTCTCCATTTTATACCAGAGATAAAATCCAGGCACTGAAGTGAAGTCATGCTGAGTATTTATCTTTTCTCCAAGGCTATAAACAACAAACCTCCCCCCAAACATTTCCATTTACATACCTTCTGAGCAAAGCTTGGAATTATTTTGCCATTAGTCGAAATAATGTTTAAGACATTTAAGACACAGGTACAGGCAAGGTGAAAAAAGTAGTTTTTCCCATCATTTTAGCTCTTAACATGATTCAGTGCTACCAGCCTATGACTTAACTGGGGAACAGATGCTCTATGTCTTTACAGGTCCCCAAACCATAAGAAACTGTTTGCTTCCCTTCTTCCCTCTCCTGATTCAGGAACATGCCAAGCTCTCTCTGCAAAATCTGCTCCTCTGAACTGGATGCCCAGCTGTTAATGGCAACACTGGAAGAGGAAAGCTGAATATTTATAATACTTTATATGGTACAGCTGTCTGCTAAAGAGCAGTCATCAAAATTTTATTGAATGCAGGCGAAATGCTCCAAGGAAAGAAAGGTCAACATAAATTAAGACTATTTTTCCCAGAGACAACTGAAACTTTTTAAGCACATTCCTAAATCTTTACAATAGTTTAAAGCATGATGTAAAACGATGAGAAAAAAAAAATCTTTGTAAGAACAGTCCCCAAGAAACATGTATATTGTACTGAATTAAACAGGGTTTGGAATATACATCATATTTCAAGAACTTAGTTCAGTTTTCATCTTGGAAAAAGAATGTTTTGCCTTGTAAGGAATTTAGATGACCTCATTCCAAACATATCCTTTTCAAATTTATGCTGCTATTCCAAAACTGTAAATTAAAGGATTGGGAAAATAGAATGGAAACACATCATTGATATGTAACTCAGGCAAGGGTCTTTTATGAAAACTGTTTTACAGCTATTTCTATTACAAAAAAGGGAAAAGAAATATCCTGTTTTAAAAAAGCCAAGTAAACAGGTAACATTTAAATTAAAAAGGCCTCTGAAATCCTGGCCAAAGGGCAGCCAAAGCTGCCACAGTTTGATGGAATTCTTTACAATGTATTTCTTTTTTAAAGAGAACCCCATATAGCTCAAGGAATCCCGACTCCATTACAGCTTCCAGCTCATGGCAGCAGAGAAATATTCCATTTATTAATGCATCCACACTGCAAGGATGCTCTGGGGGCCAATGCATTTGCATGTTACACCAAGGCATGTTCTGATGGAAGTTTTTATGGCAGGTGTCAAAAGGAGCTGAAAGCCAAAGGAAATCAGGAGCAGGATCACAGCTGTAGGATGAAATAAATGAGAAACTACATGAAAATCCCACTAAGTTACGAACACTGAGGACATTTCTTAGGGGGAGAGCTGTGCACTGATGAGAGCCACGTTCTTTGAAGCCTGTCAAATATTGTGCACAGCAACAGAGCAGCACACAGCCCAGATTTCCCTCTGCAAGAGCCCTGAACCACGGGGGCAGAGGTGGAACCTCATTCCAAGCCCTTCAACATTGGAAACAGCTGGAATGTTGTCTTGGAAAACAGAATTTTAGCTTTAGGAGATCAACCTTGCCTTGTGCCACCCAACAGCCTGGCTTGCTTGGGGGCTTGTTTTTGCTGATTGTCTTTTCATTGCCATAAGGGGAGAACTTAAAATAATTTAAAAATTGTGCTCCAACTCTACACAGAGAGCCCTGAAACCAAATTCATCCCAACTCCTCGCATGAAAATCCTGTTGGCTGAACTGACCTCTCTCTGATCTTCTACAAGAAGAATGTGGGGGAAAAAATAATACATGCAAACAAAATTCCTCAAGTATTTTAGCAAACAACATGAAGAAAACCACTCTTAGGTTTGTTTTTTGGTTGGTTTTTTTTTTTTTTTTTTTTTTTTATTATAGCTCACTTTGACTGTGGTGTAGAACCAAATGTCAGAGTGGAACGAGAAAAGGAGACAAAAAGATGAGGAACTTGTGGTGAGAGTATTCAACCTGAGTTTCCTACCCCTGAATTAGCCTGACAAGGCTTAATTTATTTATTTATATAAGTCTTAATTTAATTTATTTTCTTAACCGTGCAGAACATGATGGCACATGTTTACAGCCAGCTGCACAACCTGCAGTGATTATTTGGTGCCTAATATTTATCAGGTTAAAGAACTTTCTTTATTGATCTCCAGAAGCCCACGATGAGCCCATTCTGTATCTCCAAAAGCAGAGATACACAAGAGCAGCACCAGACTTACATGAGTTGATTAATTACTTACTGCTTGATAAATTGCAAAATATAGGAGAAAAATGAGCAGGATTTATTCCCTTTGGAGACAAAATGAAGAGCTACAGCCTGATGGAAAATGGGCATGGGGGGTGTCATGCCCTGATCTCCACAGGCTTGCAATTCCTTCCCACCTCTGTGCACCTGTGTGTGAATTTATAATTTACTCACTGCTGTAATTGTAGTAAATCCTGTTGAATCACTTTATAAATATTAAACCAGTCAGTGATTAAGTGCTGCTAAACTCTTTTGCACCTGTATCTTTTGTATCCATATCCTTGTCCCCGTGACCCTTTTGCATCCCTGGTCTCCATGTAAATCATTCTAAATTGATCCTAATCCCATTTCCCTGCGTATGCTCCATCTCTGTAGGGAACAATAGAGTGAACCTTGCCATCAAACTCTGTTGAAGCCACACTTTCACAAATTCATACCAAAACCTGCTTTTTTATTTTTTTGCCAATCCCTTTAGTGGTGGCCAAGGGAGGGGTCAGAGGATGGACCAGGCTTTGCCCAGAAATGCGACAAGATGCAATGAGCAGAAAATGAGGCTCCACCTGGATGTGAGGAAGAACTTCTTTCCAGTGCAGTGACTGAGCACTGGAGCAGATTGTTCAGAGAAGATGTGGAGTCTCCCTCACTGGAGATATTCCAGACCTGCCTGGATGCCAGCCTGTGCCATGGCAAGGGATGACCCACTGTGGGTCCTTTCCAAGCTGAACCATCTTGTGATCCTTCTTCTTGCCCCTCTCCCACACAGCCCCACGGGTGTTATCCACGCTATGTAGAGATATAGAATTAGAATAACTGGGACTGGAAGGGATCTCTGGAGCTCATCCAGTCCAAACCCCTTGCCAGGGCAAAAAAAAAACCCCCCTTTGGTTTTTTTTTTTTTTTTTTTTTTTTTTTTTTTTTTTTTTTTAAATATAGCTCACTTTGACTGTGGTGTAGAACCAAATGTCAGAGTGGAACGAGAAAAGGAGACAAAAAGATGAGGAACTTGTGGTGAGAGTATTCAACCTGAGTTTCCTACCCCTGAATTAGCCTGACAAGGCTTAATTTATTTAAAATATAGCTCACTTTGACTGTGGTGTAGAACCAAATGTCAGAGTGGAACGAGAAAAGGAGACAAAAAGATGAGGAACTTGTGGTGAGAGTATTCAACCTGAGTTTCCTACCCCTGAATTAGCCTGACAAGGCTTAATTTATTTATTTATATAAGGCTTAATTTAATTTATTTTCTTAACCGTGCAGAACATGATGGCACATGTTTACAGCCAGCTGCACAACCTGCAGTGATTATTTGGTGCCTAATATTTATCAGGTTAAAGAACTTTCTTTATTGATCTCCAGAAGCCCACGATGAGCCCATTCTGTATCTCCAAAAGCAGAGATACACAAGAGCAGCACCAGACTTACATGAGTTGATTAATTACTTACTGCTTGATAAATTGCAAAATATAGGAGAAAAATGAGCAGGATTTATTCCCTTTGGAGACAAAATGAAGAGCTACAGCCTGATGGAAAATGGGCATGGGGGGTGTCATGCCCTGATCTCCACAGGCTTGCAATTCCTTCCCACCTCTGTGCACCTGTGTGTGAATTTATAATTTACTCACTGCTGTAATTGTAGTAAATCCTGTTGAATCACTTTATAAATATTAAACCAGTCAGTGATTAAGTGCTGCTAAACTCTTTTGCACCTGTATCTTTTGTATCCATATCCTTGTCCCCGTGACCCTTTTGCATCCCTGGTCTCCATGTAAATCATTCTAAATTGATCCTAATCCCATTTCCCTGCGTATGCTCCATCTCTGTAGGGAACAATAGAGTGAACCTTGCCATCAAACTCTGTTGAAGCCACACTTTCACAAATTCATACCAAAATCTGCTTTTTTATTTTTTTGCCAATCCCTTTAGTGGTGGCCAAGGGAGGGGTCAGAGGATGGACCAGGCTTTGCCCAGAAATGCGACAAGATGCAATGGGCAGAAAATGAGGTTCCACCTGGATGTGAGGAAGAACTTCTTTCCAGTGCAGTGACTGAGCACTGGAGCAGATTGTTCAGAGAAGATGTGGAGTCTCCCTCACTGGAGATATTCCAGACCTGCCTGGATGCCAGCCTGTGCCATGGCAAGGGATGACCCACTGTGGGTCCTTTCCAAGCTGAACCATCTTGTGATCCTTCTTCTTGCCCCTTTCCCACACAGCCCCACGGGTGTTATCCACGCTATGTAGAGATATAGAATTAGAATAACTGGGACTGGAAGGGATCTCTGGAGCTCATCCAGTCCAAACCCCTTGCCAGGGCAGGGTCACCCGGAGCAGGCGACACAGGCTTTGAATGGGAGACTCCACGGCCTCCCTGGGCAGCTGCTCCAGAGCTCTGCCACCCTCAGCGCACAGCAGCTGTTTTTGATGCTGAGGTGGAACTCGTTGTGGTTTAGTTTACGGCCATTGCTCCTTGTCTTGTCGCTGGGCTCCTGTGAGCAGAGCCGCCGCGCCCGACCCCTCAGAAATGCAGAATCCAGCGAGGATCTCCCACAGCGGCAGCACCGCCCAGCCAGCCCCGCCCGCAGCGCTGCCCCAGGAGCCAGCGCCGCCAGCATTTCCCGGTTTGCTTCCATCTGGAAACAAATCCCGCCCCTCGCCAGCCGCTCCTCCCTCCCCGGGCCCGCTCTGAGAGCGTTTATCCCCTCACGGAACGCGCTCGGGAGCCGCAGCCCGCCGGGAGAAGCGCTCCCCTCACGGCGGAGTCCGCGGGAACCGACCCGCTGCCGTGAGGGGACGGTGGGTGAGCAGAGAGCACAGACAGAGGGAAGAGAACAGGGGAGGAGGAAGAAGAAGAAGAGGAGGGAGGGAGAAGAGGAAGGGGCGAGAGAGCGGACGGAGAGGGAGAGCAGCGCTGCTCCGCTCCCCAGACACCTACGACATCCCGGAGCCGTTCCCGCCGCCTCCCCTTCGCAGCTCCCGCCGTGTGCCCGCCAAACGCCGCCGGCTGGAAACGGCGCCGAGGGCGGGCCGGGCCGGGGCGGAGCCGGGCCGAGGAGCCCGGCCGGGCTGCGGGGCCGAGACCGAGACCCCCGAGACCGAAACCGAAGCCGAGCCCGAGCCCGGTGTCCGTGTGTGCTCGTCGAGTCCCGCTGTGCGCGGTAGGAACCGGGCCGGGGCCGGTGATGTTCGGGCGGCGGCGTCGGGGCGGCCAAACTCGCCTCAGCAGTCCCTCAGGGATGGCCGAGCTGGGCTGAGGGAGTGAGGGAGGGCTGATTCTCCTCAGGGCTGGGGGAAGGGGATTGTAATTTTAATTTTTTTTTTATTTTTTTTTTTTTTTTTTTTTACGGTGGGTGGCAAATTTAGCCCTTGAAGCCCCCTGTCCCTTCTAGAGAGGGAGGGAGGTGGTGAGATCCATGCGGGAAAAGTTTCCTCGTTTCAGGTGGGTTTCAGAGCTGCCCTGTGCCAGTGTGGGTTCTGTGCGGGTGAGCCTGTCAGTGAAGGTCGGTGCTGCCACGGAGGGTCTGACTTTGGGCATCAGGAGGAATTTCCTCACAGAAAGGGCGATTGGACATCGGAAGGGGCTGCCCAGGGAGGGCTGGAGTCCTCATCCCTGGACATGTCGAAGGCAGGCTGGGCATGGCATGCAGTGCTCTGGGCTGAGAATGCTGCATTGGTTTGGGTTGGAAGCGGCCTAAAACTCATCCAGTTCCACCCATGGGCAAGGACTCCTATTCCACTATTCACTAGGACTAACATTCCACTATCCCAGGTTGCTGAAACACCCATCCAACCTGGCCTTGGACACTGCCAGGGATTCAGGGGCAGCCACAGCTTCCAGGACCTCCCCACCCTCAAAGGGAGGAATCTCTTCCCAATCTCTAATCTAAACCTACTCTCTGCCTGTTTGGAAGCCTGGGCTGGATTGCTCCCCTCTGTCTATTTTTCTGAAGTGTCATTTATCCAGCAGGAATGTCCCAGCCTGAGCTGTGGGGCTGCTGGCAGTGCTGTCACTAAGCCATTGCTCACTGGATTTCCCAGCGATGGATTGGCAGCACTTCTCGACCCACATAAGAAATGCCTCAGTAATGGGAAGTCCGAGGACTACAAGCAGGAGTTCACATTTTCTAAACTGGTTACTGGAAAATTAACATTTCTTCTTCCTCTCCTCCTTGCCTTTCCCCCCAGTTTCATTCCATGTGTGTAACACTGGTGCTTCATTATAGTGACACCTGTTTGCAGGGGCCAGGCTGTGCCAGGAGGTCCCTGTGGGCTCCTTCTGGTGCCTGTGTAATATTAAAGTGTCAGGGAGTTACAAATTGGGTACTTCATCCTTGATAAGCAATTATTATCTGCCTTTCCCAAGTGTAAAAGATCTGTATAACTCAACAAGGTGCCAGTGATTGAGGCCTCCTGAGTAAAAACCCAATGAGTCCTGAAGGAGACCCTGGGATGGTGTTGTCTTGTTGCTGAACTTGAGATATTCCATTTATTATACTGGAATATATTTCCTGAAGCCAACATTGGGTAAAATAATACAAGAAGCTGTTAAAGCAGCAGCACAACAGGATTTAGTGTCCCTGTGTGATGGCCTTCTAAAAACCTTAATCACCCCTGGTGGAAGCAGAAAGCTGCTGTCAGAGTTTGCTGACCATTGCTGAGCAAACAGCAATGAGTTGTTTTAATAATTGAGAAAAAAAAATATGGTTTTGGTTTTTTTTCCATTCAGTTATAACTGTATGGGCCTTGGATTTAAAAGGCCTGTGTTGCTCAAAGTTTTATGCACATTTATTTCTGTTATTTATATTTAACTCTAAGAAATAGAATTCCGTGCTTAACCTGGCATTTTTTGAGATTAAGGGCTCCCATTTTGACCAATTTTATTATTATTATTAATATGTTTTGTTGAGTTATAGGAGTAAAAAGAGAAAACATGGATGGCAAAGCCTTGTTTCACAGATAACATGAAAATGTGTTTTTGTGCTTTCAAAAATCAAAACTACATAATATTTATATAATACTTGCAATATCAAATGCCTGCAACTATATAAAATACAGTGAAATTAAACTTTTTACTGCCAATGAAGGATAAACTGTGAATAATAAGTAGAGCTCAAGCTCTTTCTGCTTGTGGCTCTCATGGTGCTTACCTACAAGTGTAGATAATAATTCCCATCCCAGATTTAGAGAAAAGAAAGGATATGGCCTGGATGTTTGGGTAACTGGGGCTAGTCTGTGTTTCAGAGGACAAACAGAGGCATTGTTAAGATAATTACAAATTCTAACTGGAATTTCATCCCTCACAGGATGGCCAGCACTCCTGGAATTCAGAAAGCCAAACACTCAGAAAGTTCCCAAGGGAAGAAGTCCCAGCATGCAGAAGAAGCCATTTTTTACATGAACTGCAGAGCAGCTTATCTGACTGTCTTGAAAAGCAGCTTAGAAAATATTAAATCAAAAGAACAACTGAGTTTAGGTAATGATTGGATCTTTTTCCCTCTGACTCTTCCATGGGATGATTGCAGTGGGGCTATCCCTGTGCATAAACTCAGTAACTGGTTTAAGGGATTGAGAGTAGTTTTGGATGCCTGCTGGAAGTGGGAATGCCAGACAGAGGCATTTTATTGTAGATTGTTTTATTATAGATTTTATTTCTAAATCACCAGAAGGAAAGGTGATTTAGGTTTAGAAAGGTGATTCAGTTTAGACTGGGCCTCTGTCCTGGCACAGAAAACCACCATAACTGGTGTTCCCTAAGAATCCTTACTCCTTATCTCAGCTCCTCCTGAGTTACTGAATTACTTTTTTATACTGGAATCTAAAATTCTAATTTTTTTGTCCGGACTATATTTGTGTATAAGTAGTGGTGGTGGTGATGTCAGCAGTACAACAGAAAAAACAAATCTCTGACTGTTTCAGCTGCACTAAATAAGACTGTTGGTAGAAACTGAAAGCTGTGGGGCTTTGGTTTGAAAACTTCAGGAATTTCAAGGGGAAGTGAGAAAAATTTACCTGAAAAATGGAAGTTGGTTTCTTAATAATGTATATTATTGACCAAGTAAGATAAGGAAAGAGTAAGGTAAGACTGAGTAATAAAGAACCTCAGTTTTGAAGGAGGTTTCCCTATGGCAGATAAAATTCCTCAAGCAAATACAATTCCAACTTTGCAGTTTCTTGGAGTTGTGGGATTGTATGCTCTCTTTGGGTGATGATTTTTCTTTTCTTAGAGCATTTTTGTTCTTTTTTAAAGGGTTTTTCATGGCAACCACCACTGTAAAAGCTGAGTGCACTGATTGTAGCTTCTTTCCCTACAGCAGAACATGAAATTCCACCCATTAACAAGCATATTCCTACAGCTTGTGACTTGGTGCTCTCCAGGCTTTCCCAGCTGCAATAAAAGGGCCTTTATGACATCCTAATGATAGTTTGGGATAATCTGATTTTAACAGAGGGGTGGTGTGAACAAATGTCATCTCTCTAATAAATGCTTTGGCTTTCAGCTCTATCCATATGCCACTTGGCTACACAGCAAGTGTTTGGGCATTTTGCTTTCAAGGTCAACTTGGAGAGGGCAGTTAATTGTTTAGACTCTCAGTCCTTCCAGAGATATTTAATAATTTATTTTAGAATTTGTAAGCATTGAGAGTTAAAGACTTATATTTCATCTTAAGTCAATTTTGGCATTTCTCAAACGAGTGGTACCAATGTTTAAGCCCCTCTTGCTTCAAGAATTTTGTCTGATATTCCAAACTAAAGTGAGAGATTGGCCCTGGGAAATTTTATTTGTAGGGTTTTGCTTATCCCCAAAGAGTAGCTTCATTTCCTGTCTGGAGTGATTTAGCAGAAGCAGATCATAAAGAAGTATAAATAAAAGGTGCAGTCTGACTGAGCTTTCACAGATACAAATTGGGAGGCATGTGTGGAATGGCAAGTGCTGATGTCCCTGGAGATATAAAATGAAGGATTGTATATTTGAAGGATATCTGTCAAATACAATAGTGTGCTGCACTGACATTCCAGGGAGCTCTCCTATCCATGGGAGCAAACCCCCAGAGTCACTGCCCTTCCTTCCCTGGCTGCCCTTGCCACTGAAATCCCCAAACCATTGCTCCGTGCCCAGGAGTGGCTGGGATAAAGATGTGAGCCCTGCTCTGTTCTGGCTCTTCCAGCAGAGGTGGCAGGGCACAAATCTTTATTTAGTGCTTGGCATGAAGCAGGGATTAACAGCAGAGGTGCCTGGTTTGCTGGTTTGTTTGTTTGTTTGCTTGGTTTGCTGGTGACACGGGTCCCACTGAGCATTGTCACGATGCCACCACCTCATTTCACAGATGCTCTTCAGCAGTTCCCAGCACAGGCTTGGGCACTGCTCAGCTGGCTCAAAATCAAATGCCAGCCCAGGTGGGGATGGAGGATCTCCTGTGCTTCCCTTAAAGATTATTTGGGAAGATACAAAAGCATCCCTCTCATTTCAGATAGACTGTGCATTTAAATTTAATTTCCATTTAATGTAATGCACTGAAAACTGAAAGGATGTTTTCGGTAAAGACCTTGAAGAGACAAATAGATCCAGCAAATTCATTTTGGAGAATGCCAGGTGTAACACCCATGGCACTGGTTGCATGTGTGGCATTGGCTGCTTGGTGGTATCATTTTTCCCTTAAAATTCGTGTGTAATTTGAATTGATACATTCAGATGTACAGGCATGACATAAAATATTGTCTCAGATAAATTCTACTCCAGATTTCAGTTCTTGGCAAAGGCAGTGCAAAGATGATGTTGGTGTTAGTAGAAATAGGATCTAATAATGTGCAGACTTAAAAGACTTAAAAATAATACATTCTTGATACTAAGACACTGGATATAGCCTGAATTTTACACTTGAGACTGTTTTTGAGTTAATGTATATTTTGATTAAGATCATAACCAAAACTGTTCTTCAGACCCACTTTTCTCTTGGAGTGATTTGGCTTTAAAAAAATCTGAACGTGGAAAGTGCTCAAGGATGTTTGGAGAAAACTCCTTTTTAACACTGGAATATGTATGTAATATTGTGTTTTATTACTCAGTGCTCCAGCAGGCTGGAAGAAATCCTTCTCAGAAGACCATTAAGAAATACTGGACTTCACAAACATCTTCACTGAATTTTGATGATTTTTGTGCTATTTTAAAAAAAGAAAAGCCAGCTACAAAAAATGAACTGCTCGAAGCATTTGGTAAAATAGACACAGCTAAGACTGGATATATTTCACATGATGAACTTTGTAAAATTCTTACAACAGTAAGTATCACTAGAAACCTAATTATCCATCCTTAATTAGTAGAGATTTTGGAAATTAGATGGTACTGGGAGCTGGGTTCCCCATTTTATGGAAGATTTTCATGGTGGGTTTCTGGAAGACACCACAGAATTACATAAACTGATACAGTTGATCTCTTTGATATTTAGTAGCATTGAAAAGACAACATTTTTAATGATTTTGACCTCTGTTTTCATGATTCAAATCAAAATCTGTTGAAATCTATTGCAAGATAAGATTCTCTGAAAGAGTATAAAAAGGCTTTTCCTTTGTTAATGGAATTTGTGCTGTAGGTGAACAGGATTCTTGATTAGGAACCCAAACTGAGCTGCTTTTTCCTTGCAGAGAGGTGATAAAATGACCTGGGAGGAAGTGACCAGCATTACTAAACAAGCTGATTTTAACTGCAATGGCAAACTTGACTACAACAAGGTATGGCCAAGAGTGATATTTGTTCTTTTGTAATTGACAATATGAGCATTAGTGATGCCCTTACCTCAGGATTCTAAATTTTGGGCTGAATAAACAGCACATAAATATGGTTTCATAGGAGGAAAGCTGATATGCTAAAAAATCAGTCTTCCAATATGTAGAAAGGAAAAGTTGAAAGTCACACTTAATTTTTGTTCAATATTTGGACCTCCTTGTTAAATCATTTACTGTCATAATTGAGTGATAGTCCTGATTAATGAAAATGAAAAATATGTTTGGCTTGCAGAGGAAATGCATTCCATCTGCTGAGCTGTGCTTTCCTTGCTAATGCTACATTTTACTCCTTAAAACCTTTTGAGAAATGTAGCTTGGTAAGTGAAATCTTCTTTTATTCTCTCCAGTTCTGTGAGCTGTACCTGAGCACCAGTGAGCAGTGCTGCAAAGCTGCAAGGGACAGGCTGGAAACTGACCCTCGACTGAGGCAGCAGCACCTTGGGAATCAAACTGAAAATGTCCCTGAAGGGATCACACTGCCATCCCCGAGGGTCTGCAGGAAAACTGATCACAAACTGCCTAAAGGTATTTAAATTTCTTATATTTTATGTTTTCTTTCTGTTGGAAATGAAGCTCTGGCTCAGTGAGCAGTGGAGTTTTTGTTTAATTTTTCTCAGATTAGTGAAGATTTTATTGATGAATATAATTTCTACTGTGGCAGTCACATCAGTGTGTCAGTAAAATATATTCAAATGGCTGCATCTGTGAAACTCACAAATTCCTAAGGGGGGATTCTGTTGATTTTCATGTGGCACAGTCCAGAGGGAAGAGAGAAAATTAATGCTCAGGTGTTGCAATATAGGCAAACTATTTATTTCCTTCCTAGATTAGAGATGAAACCCTAAACATTTCACAGTAAGCTGTGTGTTTGTTTCAATAATTGAAATTTTCAAGCACAGTTAATAAGTTATGGACAGTTTAATGTTCTTCCTGAAGTTACAAAGATGCTTCAAAACCTTCCCAAAAACTCCACAGGGAATGGACTGCAGTATGAAGTCCTAAGTATGAAATTTTGGGATGTAGTTTGTACTGTTCCAAGTTGCTTCAAATCAAAGAGGTGCAAAAATGACACAACAGTGATGAAGGGAACTTCTCTGATGGAGTTCTGGTCAGCCAGTTTTCTTTGTGCTTCTAAATGCAAGGTTTATGATAAATAGCACTAGGAGAGGGTTGAAATAATGTGACTGTAATTAAATATCTCTGTTTTTAGGTGACAGCAGAACTCCTTCAAGACCTTCATCAGCTCAAAGCAGCAAAGCTTCCACCTCCACCACGGTCACTGTGGGTGCCAGCAGCAGCAGGAACACAAAGCTAATTATTGAGCCTGACACAATGAAGGTATCACACTGAAATGATGGTGTTTTCCTCTAGGCACCTGTGTTATTGCATTTTAAAGAAGCTAAAAATCAGAGAAAAATGGTGTCTTATGTTTTATTTACAGTTTGTCAAGGGCAGCTATAAACTACTGAGAGCTTTCTTGATAGGTATTATTATTAACATTTTTATATACTGTTGGTTTTGCTGACAACAAGTTATTGGAAATAATTTTTCAGGTGTGAAGGTTTAATAGAACAAAATGTGTTTTTTATAAATGAAACCACTGTTGGGAAAACAGTTAATGACTTCTTGAGAAATTTAAAATTGAATAATTTATTAGGTTGGTGAGAACTTTAAATGCTTAAGTAGTCTGAAAGATTGTGTATCATAAACCTTTGCATGAAAGGTAATTGGAAATAAATAACAGATCTGTGAGCATATTCAGTTTCTTGGGCATTGCTTGGTAAATAGATGCTGTAACCTGAAAATATTGATTTTTAGTTAGACTAATATGTTCTATCAGTATTTTCTTTTAAATAAATCACTCATTCAATACAAATTCCTGGGGGAGAGAGACAACAAAGTCACTTTGCTAAGTCAATATTTGTAGAGTGTTAATATTGATCTTTTTCCCTTTGTTTTCCCTTTCTTGACTGAACCTTTACTAGTTTTCTTTCAACAGAAAATAATAGCTGGAGAAATATAAAACATTAAGTGGGAACTGCTGGGATACATTAAAAATGTGCACCTGGAGACTCCTGTATAAAAGGGAAAAATGGCTCTGACCACACAGTGTAACTGCTGCTGGAAAACTGAACTGATTGTCCTCAGGAGCTGCATTTTTGTTTCAAATAACAACTCTGGATTTGTTATTGAGCTCTGAAGTCCTTTAGATCTTCCCCACTGCTGTACAGTGACATTTGTTCTATATTAAAATTTCCAAACATCATCTCCCAGGGGTTCTGTGCAGTCTGTTTAGGTAGCTGGACCTCCATGCAATTTAACCTGCAATCTCACTTTGTTCAAACATGGTGTGGGGTGTATAAAACAGCACACACTTCCCCAAGATTGGATTCTTTTTTTCTTTCTACAAGCCAGTAAAAACTGACTAAAAAAAGAGATATTGATTAGTATTGCTTGGCATCATCCAAAAACTGAAATCAATTAAGAAACATGGAAAGGTTTATTTCCTATTAATTAAATATTTTAAATTAATAAAATTACTTATAGATTAATTATATTCATATTTATATATAATATTATATGTAGTCAATATATTATAAATTAAATATTTCCTATTAATAAACTATTAATTTTTTAAACTTCATTTTGCACAATGCAAGCTCTGCCAGAATCAATCAATAAGTACCCAGGCTTTTATTTGTGGTGTGAATCAGAATCCACCACTCAAAAATTCTTTTTATTTGTCTTACATCCAAGAATTTTATTTTATATTTTTGCTGTTCACCTGTCTTTGTACAAGTAAGAAAATATTGCCCTCAAGAGCAACACCAACTGTACATTTCTGACAGAGGAAAACAGTGAAAGTCAGAATATGGTGAAATATGGAAAAGAATATGGTCTAAAACAAAGAACCCTTAGAAAATTCCTCTCAATCATTGCTTTTTATTAGGAATTGTGCATCAATGTGTGGATATTTTCAATATTGACTTGAATGTCAGTAGCAGTGACCAGCAGCAGGTAGTGCCTAACTTTTCTTTCCAATTAACATTTCTAACACAAACATTTCCCACTTCAGCTACTATTCAACAACTCCTTTTCTGCTTTGAAGTGGAAAATCCACTCAGAAGATTCTCTTTTAGTTTCCCAATTTTACATACATGTTTGGAATTTGATAATTTAGGACTTCTAGCACCACCTTATGCCCTCTGCCAGAGTAACAGGGTTTGATTTCCCAAAAGGAAAGGATAAGGATAAGGGTTTTGTCCAGCAGTTTTGGCAGGTATCAAGCTTGGAGCAAACAACCAGTTATTTCAGATGTGTCAAGTTTTAAGAAAACAAATCAATTTAAAAAATTTCCTTTTAGGTGAAGTCAGGAGTCATGAAGTGTTGGAATAACCAGTTTAGGAATAGCAGTGGAAATGATCCGAGGGGCTGAACTCCGTGTTGGAATTCTGTCCCTGATTTATGTTAATCCCAGCTCCCATTATCCACTTTTTGACTGACACAACCCCAGCTGTTGCTCCATATTCAACCCTCACCATTAAATCCCAGGAATATTTTATCTCTGATCACTTTTTTCCTAATTATTTTTTATGATTGGCCCCTTTTTTCCTTGTCCTGTCACTACAAATCCGGTTTTATGGATAAAGATGAGTACAAAATTATTGAATGGATTTGTTAATTAGGTTTATTCTACTCCATAAAAGTTAGCCAGGGGCTGAGCTCTGGCTCCATGGTCCAGAAATAGCTGCACTTAAGGATTATCCCTAAAAACTTTTCCAGCAAGTTGTGCCCACAATGAAAAGAGTATGGGAAATTATAGGAGGGCAGGGACTTGGACAGCAGTACCTGCCAGGGATTGGCCATCTCACTTTATTTTTAATAAAACTTTGTCTTCTCCACAGCCAATTTACTTTGAAAGTCTTCTAGAACTTCTTGAGCAAAATCTTAATTTTTTAAAAAAAATTCCAGACCTCCAAAGAACAGCAGAAAGGGAGTTGCAAAGTGTATAATATTTGTATTTTAATTATTCCATGCTGTCAGCTGTTTGCAAATATAATTAGCAGAATCTTTGTAGCAATCCAGATTTAATTTTTCAGCTACAGGAGCATTGGGGTAATCTCTGTGCTTTCCAGGCATTTTCACAAGTGAAGCCATGTTACTTTGCAAAATTTGTCTATAAAAAGGACTATTTGTGATTTTTTTAAAAATAAAAGTATATTGATGCTGTATCTCATGGTGCGTTTTATGCAGGGTTAATTCAATAATCAAGTTAATTAACATTTCAGAGAAAGCACTTTTATCTTCATCCAGAACAGAGAAAACCCCTGATATTTGCTTGGTTTCCAGGAATGGCAATGTGCACAATCCAAGGGCTGCTTCTACCTGGAGGAAAATGGGGAAATCATCAGTCACAAGTACAGGCTGCACTTACCCCAGAGATCTGCAGTGTGTGTCACCATCAAACCTTTCAGAATTCCCCAGGCAGAAGGTGAGTGCATTTATATTTCATTTTCTTCTAAAAAGAGCTGCTGGCTTGGAGGTTTACCATGGGGTTCATCCAGTTGCTACATTGGAATTATTTTTTCCCCCCAAGTAGAATATTCCCTTTTTAATCCCATAAAACAGGAGCCTTTAAACCCCAAAATTGTTTTAAAGTCACCTGTTTTTTTAAACAAGTTTTTGTGGTGTGTAACCATTCCTTGATGTTCTTGACCCTTAATGATGGAACTATTTTATTAATAATTCTTAATGATAAAATTAATAATTATTTGTAAGACAAGGTTTGGAACAATTTATCCTGCCTAAACAGGAATAAAATCCCAATAGCATAGAACAGATTTTTTTTCCCATTTTTCATCACCAGGGATCAATAAATACCATGGGAATATCTATTTTGAGATGCAGAGAAAAACAATTTTGGACCATCATTATTATTATTATTGTTGTTATTATTATTATTATTATTAAGCATTTTTTGGGGATATTTTTCTTTCTAGGAAAATCTTGTCACTGGTTGTCAGTGGATACAGCTTTGTTTATTCTGAAGGAAAATGAAACCCAAGAGAATTTACAGCTTGTGAGCTTTACTGAACTCCAGAACAAAGAGGTTGGAGATTTCTGGTGTATTCCTATTTTAATTGTTATTTTTTAGTGTGTGTGTTAATGCTGGAGGTGTGAATTCCATGGGTTTGGAAGGAATTCCAGCTGAACCAGAATTGCTCAGTTGCTGGGTATATTTCCAGCTACTCTGTAAAAACTCAGCTGTATTTCTGCACCTTCAAACACAACATTTCCAAGGCAAAATTTGTTTAAATTTCCTTTAATTTTCTTACTCCTTGCCCTTTGAACTTCATAGTGTACAGAATATTCTTTTCCTGTGGCAGAGATAAGAGAGCATGAACTTATTTTCCCCCTCTTCCCTCATCTCTCTCCTGTCTTTCTAACCTTTATTCCAAGAGATTCACTATTTTTTTAATCTTTAAAGTGACATCACACAGCAAATTTTTTTTTGAGGAGAAAACCCAGCATTCCCAGCATTTTCAAGTAATGAATTTTATATGAATATTACTGGCAACGTGGAAAGGCATCATTTGAGAAGTTCTTACAAACTTTTCTGTCTTCCTTTAAGAGCAGATGTTTGGCTGGAGAGGGGAGCTTGGATCTGGGCTTTACTGGCTGCTCCCTTTCACAACTGGCTGCAGGCTGAGGAAGGCAAAAACCCAAATTACTGGAGAAGCCAAACTGGTGTGGAGGGATGAAGATGGAGAGCTGGCTCTCACCAATGAATTCCGGTGAGTTTTATTCCCAAACATGGCAATAAAAATCTCTTTTCCAGCTAAAATGTGGCTTTTAAAATCTGGATTTTCCTGAAGTACTCCTTGTACAGAATAATCTCAAACAGACTGACCTGTTCTTGGCAATGTTATGAGACAGTGAAAGGAAGTGGAAGCCTTTGGAAATAGTTTGGCCTTTTTCATCCCTCAGAGCTGCTTTGTTGGATATATTTGACACAATTGATTTGGATGGGAATGGCCTCCTGAGTCTGGAGGAGTACAACTTCTTTGAGCTGAGGACTAGTGGGGAGAAGTGTGACCAGGAAGCCTGGGCTGTGTGCAAGGGTGAGTTCATTTCTGTGGTACAGCTAATTAAGGCTATCAATTAACTTCCAATAGGTCTGGATATTCTGTACCTATTCCAAAAACATGTGTAGATATTTTTCTCTTCCTCCTTTTTTTTTTCTTTTTTTCCAGTCTCCTGTCCTTTGCTTTGCTTCATTCTGCTGTGTGTGCCACTGACCTTCTGCTGAGAAAATTCTTCCCCTTCCTAATTGTTTTGTAGCTGCCAAAACCTACAGGGTTTGTAATCCTGGATCATATGGGGAAGGAAACTGTCACAGGTATTTGTTTAATCCATCTCCTTTGTGCAGATTGGGCTGGTGCTGCTTTTTTTATCTCACAAAGTGTGGAGAGGGACATTTAATTAGTGTGGATCTGATGCTACAAATTGGCATCCAGAGTTTTTGTGGGTTGCCAGTGTCTCCTTTTATAATTCCATGTCATGCTTGACATAATTCCTTTGGAGGCTGTGGCAGATTGGCCAAAATACTTTAAATCTGGCAAGCCCTATGAGTTATCTCTTCCCAAAACACTCTGAGGTATCTGATTTTTTCCTAACTCATGGAAAACTCCTACAAGAATATATTCCTAGGACTGAATTTCTCCTCTGTTGATGCCTGGATGTGCTTTTCCACCCTTGATGGCTTTGCCAGGGTGATACAAGTAGGAGGGGTGGAAATGTGTGAATAAATAAGAGAGGAAGGAGGAGAAGCTGGGGAATGTTTCACCAGGTCATCAATCAGAGGAAGGGTTCACACGAATATCATCAATCTTGGCACCAAAGTTCAAGCCATTTATTACAGCATCTGTACCCTTGGATAGATTTATTACATTGGTAATCCCTTTTTAATAATATATAGTAAAGATTTAGCATTGTTATGAAGATGAGAAAACCATTTTTAAAAGTCTCTGACATGAGGACATTTCAATTATGTGTTTGCTGACATTAGAGTGGTGGATCTGTGATATTCTCTCTAGAGAGGGGTGTTAGGATTACTGGAATTTTATTGCTTTTTAGGAACTAAGTAAATCATTTCTGTATCAAAGACCTGAAGCATTTCAAGGTGCTGGCTCCAGCTGGCTTTCATTTCCCATTCCTAAAATACCCCACTCTGCAAAACTCAACCACAAATTTTAGGAAAAAAAATTCATATGAGCTCTTTTTTTTGAAATCTCCCTTTTTGGGGTTATCCAAGGAGCTAGCTGTTTGTAGGCATATCCCAAATCCACAGGGCAGCTCTGCAAACAGCGCAATGCTCAAGGACATTCTTTCCCAAATAATCTTGGAGATCCTGGGGCTCTAAGTTGGCTCCATCTTTTCAACCTTGTTAACAGGAGGGGGATTTTGCCTTTGGAAGGATGAAGGTGTTTGCAGACAGGACAGATTTTTAAGTGCTGTTTTTATTCCTTTGAAACAGAAAATTTTGAGATGAAGAAGAATGAACTAACAAGACAAGGATTCCTGGATTTGAATCTCATGGAAGCCAACGACCGGGATGGGGATCCCTGGGACCTTTGGGTCACTTTGTTGTCCCTGGGCTACAACAAAGCCTTAGAAATGACAGAGGTAGGAGAAGCACAAAAGAGCAAAAATCCCTGCACATTTAACTGCTGCAATCTTTGTGCCTGCCACAAGCTGATTGCAGGAGGGCAGGACCCACTGCCACCACCCAGGGCTGCCACTGTCCTGATTCTGAGAACAGCATTTGGATCTTTGAAAAGAGAAATCTTCCTTTGCTTTGGAGAAAGCCAGGATGTTATGGGCTTTTAGAGGAAGGGATTTTGGATTGCATCTGTTAAAATAATCCATGCACTCTGTTGGTGGGGAGTGATAGGAAGGTAGGGGTGGTTAAATGTGACCTGTTAGCAAATTTAGAAAAATCAGGACTTTTTTTTTCCTTTAAAAAGTCAAATTTGTGGCCCAAACCACAGTAGAAGTGGATAAAGATAACTTTTTTTTTCCACATGATTCAGAATTCCTAGTTTCCAGACATAACTATTTCTGTTATTGTTGCCTTTCACAACAGTGTCTGAAAAGGTTCAACACAAAATTTTAATGCTTCACTAAAATTTTAGGGTTTGGGTCACACATTGTTTACTTTCCAGGACCAGAGACTATTTCTCTGGTGTTTCTGTGCACTTACAGATTAAAAAAATTATTTATTTGTTTTTATTTTCTGAAATATATATTACATATTTCTGATGTCAATAATTCTTTCTAAAGAAAGAGGATCTCTTTTAAGAATAGAAAAAGTTATGAAAAATTAACAAATTAAATATACAGATAATGAAATAATTTAATTCCCAGGAAAAGCAGATTTTTAGGATCAGTCTGATAATATTATTTAATTTTGTTAAACAGGTCAATGTATTCAGTATATAAAACATATCAAGACCTAAAAATAATCAGTATGAGAGATATCAGTTGTCTCTCAGTGAAAAATTTGGGATGGTGCTGAGGGATTTAAAGATGAGCTCCTTTTCCTCTGACTTGTGGTTGGCAGAGCCGTGCAAGGCTGTTTTTCTGCATTTCAGCCACAAGAGAGAGCCCTCCTCCAAAAAAGAGCATTTTGGGGAGGTTCTTCTCCAGTCAGGAATTTCAGGAAGGTGTTTTGTGCCTTGTCCCAGCTGTGATTTCTGGCTCCAGCCTTTGCTTTCCAAAGGACAGCACAGCTCTCAAATGCTTCAGTAATTAATCTAAAAAGCTCCAGCTGTTAACTCGTGTCTCTCACTTAAGTCTTCAATTCCTTGATTTCAAATAATTTCAGATTTTGGGAGCACTGAGACAGAATTTGAGGAATCCTTGTGGATTCCAACAGCCTTTGGAAGGGAATTGTGGTGCTGGGACTGAGTCTAAGAAAATACAAACCCCTGGTTGTTACAGCAGGAGTAAAATGTAGCCAAGATACTGCCAGAGTACTCAATGCAACATTGCAGAGGTGTTAAATCTCTGTGGAGTGGCACAAACAGCAACAGTGGGACAGGTTTATTTCAGACACTGGAATACATTCAGGTTTCATCTTAATTCCTGGACATTTTGCTGTCCAAGGAAGGGTTTGCTGTCTTGAACTATGTCAGGTGTATTGGGAAGGACATGAAAAAGGCCACTTGTCTTGGGATTTCATTTAGTGTAAAAGATTGCCACAGCTCACAGTTTGTAATATTTAATATTCAGGCAAATATTTATACCCGGCTCATTCTAGTTCAAATATGAAAATATTTAGGAGCTGTGGGTGAAAATCTGAGGGGAAAAACTACAGCTGGAGTGATGCTAAAACTCATCTTCACTGCAGGCCTGCCCCTTTGTCATTGACGTCTGTGCAGAGAGGTGCAAACCCAGAATCAAAGCCATTTCCCTGGAGGCAGGGGGCTCCCAGCTCAGCAGGGCTGTCTGCAGGTCTGTGGTTAACAAAGGAGAGGCCAAAGTGCTGGATGGCTCTGAGAACATCTTCATCTACACCTACAGATCAGGCAGCAGAATCACCTCTGTGATTGAAAACAAGGTATGGCCTGGAACTTCCACATTGTACTTTCTGTTAAAGTCTTATTGTTCCTCCTCCTTCCATGGGTCATATTTGAGAATTGCTGTTCCTGAAATCAGGTTTTGTGTCTGTTTCATTTAAAAAAACTCTGCCTGATGTGTTCCTTGTGGCTTCAGAAGATCCTGGGTCAGTGCTCTTGGAAGGGGCAGATTGTTATAATGAGGCAAGCACTTCTAATTACCATATAAAAACTGAATACTTTGTGTGTTCACACCCCGATTTTTCAATATTTTGACATATCATCATCATCATATGAGGAAACAAACACTAACAGCAGGAAATGCAATTAGAGCAATAGCAAAGATCACAGCATTTAGACTGCTGAATATTTTCAGTGTCCATAAGAAAGTCAAAAAGCAGTGATTTTTAGGAGTGTGTTATGGGTGAGTTTTTACCTGATTGTTCTGCCATGTGTGCTTTATTAGTAATTCAAGCTGAAAGTTGTAAATCCAAGTAGAAGTGGTTGGTGAGATTTTAAACCTTTTTCCATAGATCACAGTGAATGTTCTCAGTTTCCTTTATACCAGGAACTGTGAGTAAATAAACACAGCACAGTAAGATGTTAAACTTCAGATGCTTTAAATCTTGAAAGATCACAGCAAGAAGTGTATTTTTAAATGTCCAGACACTCAAAAGGGGGTGGCTTGGGGGGGCTAATATTAGGACTGGATGCTGAGGCTCCTGGAACTCTGGATTTGGCTTTGCACTTCGCCCTTTAGGGTGGATATTCCAGAGTTATTTTTATGTTTGGGGATATGTCAAAGAAGGAGATCAGAGCTGCACTGAGACAACTGGATGTTCTCAGCCCCAGATCTCTGCCCACTCTGTTTATACCACTTGGGTTTGGTTTGTGGCTATCACCAAGCTGGGTGGGAATGCTGGGGAAGCTGCACGGGGGGGATCTGGACAGGCTGGGAAGATACAACAAGGCCAGGTTGTAACTTCACAAGTCCTTGTGTTGTTTCAATGAATCTTAAATTACTTTTGACCATGACTGTGGTGTTAAGGTACATTTGAAACTGTTACTCTTCAAAGAGTGTCTGTTACTCTTCAAAGAGTATCTGTTACTCTTCAGAGTATCCATTAAGCATTTCTATCCCTAAAACAGCAAGGTCACAGGAAGTCCAAGGACTGTGCAGTTGTTACACAAAGAACAGACACTTAACCAGGAAAGTCTAATGGTTCCTTCATGTTTTTCCACCTGCAGTCTGAGAATAAAGTGATAATTCATGTCAACAATGAGCAGAGTAAGAACTGCTTGAACAATAGGGGACTGACAGTTTTTGCTGTGGAAGTGGCTCCAAAATCCATGATGGTAAGACTTTTTATTGCTTAGCCAGCTTTAGAGAAAATCAGGTTTTATCTTTATATTTTCTTTATGTAGGGCTTTTATCATGATAATGAGCATGTGGACAGTGGCATCTTCTGACCAGAACAGATCAGATGCATTTTTTGATATTTCAAAGCTGGTCATGTATTTAATGTATCCCTGTCTTCCTGTGCAATTTCCTATAAAAGTTAATAATCCACTTTTTCATACATGGGCCTGTTTCACTTGTCCATTCTATACATGCACCATTCACTAATATTTTTAATACTCTTTTTCTAAGGCTGTATTTTTTTTCACTTAGCAATTTTTAATCCCATGTATTGATGCCTGTGAGAACAGACCAAGCATGCACTAATCAGAAAGAGAAATAAATGTATTGCAGTCCTTGTGCACACTGTAATTTGCTGGTGGTTAACTGTTGTTAAACTTGATTTAGGGATCATGTTAACCATGAGACAATTTGAATGCTGAGTCCTGCTGCAGAGCTGGGCAGGCTTCAGTGCCAATTCCAAATGAGGGTCCTGAGGGATGGAATGTGATGCTTTACAAATGCAAATGATATTTTTCTTCATTTATTTATTAATAACCCTCTGGTTTTCTTTTTCTGAAAGTACACTTTCTTTGTTTAAGAGCAGAGGGATCCAAGCTATTTTATATTTCCCAGTTTTCCAGGGTGGATTCATTCAAGCCTGCTGTAAGCAGAGCAGTCCCATGACACAGGCAGGGCTGGGGCCTGTTTAAATTGCTACTGACATTTTAGATATCCACTGCCTCATCCTGTAAGGTGGTTTTAAATTTGAATTCAGACTTCATTCAGGATAAACTGTAGGCTCAATCCTTATGGATATTTTGCTGTTAAATTCAAGAGTAATTTTTGAATATCTGTCAGTGTAGATGATGAACATTCCTCCTTTAGTGACACAAGTACTGAACATTTTGCTTCCACAGCACACTGGGTAACAGTTTTCCAGCAAAGAGAATTCTCTTTCACCTCTGCTTTCTCTTGTGCCAGGTCTGTCAGCACGTGATGGCCCTGAATGAGCAGGAAGAGTGGATTTACAGCTGTGTGCACTCCCTTGTGTGTTAAACCTCCCAGTGCCAGGGCTGGGAGCAGCCACACTCAACCAGGATTAGCTTTGGGCAGCTTTTAGACAATTTATAGTCTTGTCCTTCTCAAAAAGCTGGCATACATTTATATTTCTTGATGATTTTGGCATGAAAACACTGAGGCACAATAAAAATTAGTGCTGTTCAGTAATCCAGCTGCCAGTTGTAATATAACTGTGCTTTTTAAAGGATTGTTTCCCATATTTTCCATACCATGGATTGTAATTCCATTACAGTTTGGAACTGCTTCACTGAGGGGAAAAAAAACTTTGTTGGATGGGTTCCTAACTAAACATTCCTGTGGTTTTGATATGAGAAGCATAAAGGGATGAAGCTCATTGTATTTTGTCACTTGATAAAGGATTTGTTTCTTTCCCCCCTTTTTTGGTCATTTGCTGATAATCCTTATCTTACCCTTGTTCTGTAATTTCTGCCTGGTTTTATACTCTTTTATATAAAATAAAGTCTGCCTTTTCATATGCAATAAGGAAATAACATCATTTGAGAAAAATGAAGGTTTGTCTTGGGCTCTTGACTGTTAACAGCAATTAATTATTCCCAGGGCAGCTGAAATAAGAAGACTGAAGTGCACTAAATTTAGGCTGCAACAGCAATGAAAGCCATCTTTGAGGTACTGAAAACATTCAGCTTATTATATTTTCCTGGTTCCTCTAAATGTCTGTTAATGTGGGAAAAAAATGATGACCCTGGCCTGTGGCTGCTTAAAAAGTGTTTGAGTTTAAAATAGCCACTAAAAGTGTGTGACCTCATGTGTGAGGGCAGCAAGTAGTGTTGCAAAGTTATTTTTATCTGCCCCAAGTCCTGCTCTCTGCTGTTCCTCTGCTGTAATCTTACACTGGGCAAGTAAATGTCAGTGACAAAATGAGAGCTGGGCTCTGATTTACACACTCAGGCAGGATTCCTGGTGAGCTTTGAGATTTTCATGGTTTTCCCTTAGCAAGTGCCACAGGTATCATTTCCATTTTCAGAACTGTCTGAAAAGAAGTTGAGGCCCCAAAAATACTTGGTGATTTTTAGATCTGACTGAGCTCTGCAAATGCTGCCTGAGGTAAAATGTGGGTAAAGCAGAAATTGCCAGCTCCTTGTCTAAGAAGGAGTTGGGAAATGATGAGACACTGTGTGGAACAGACACTACAAAGTGAGCAGTCCATTATTTACATTTCCTTTGTAAAATCAGCCTTTTTAGATGTGGCAGGAATTCATATGCAACTCTCTCTGCATTTTAGGAAAGGAATGGTTAAAGCTGAAAGAAAAAGCTGAGAAATCACTGCACATGGAAAGAGTTGGGTGTGCTGCAGGTAAAAACCATGGCACAGTACTACACAGGAAACATCATTTATTTCCTGTCTTCCTGCTGCCTGGAAGGGTTTCATTATCCAGTTTTTAAGTGAGGACATAGGCAAAGTCTCCATGGCAGTTTCTACCTTTCCTGCCCTGGAGGAATTGCTGCCTGGAAGGGTTTCATTATCCAGTTTTTAAGTGAGGACATAGGTAGAAACTGCCATGGAGACTTTGCCTTTCCTGCCCTGGAGGAGATGAGATTAGAGATCTTGGTTGTATCTGCAGAGTCTTTTTCAGTTTGTTCCAAATCCGGGTAACACCAAGACAGAAAAAAAATCCAGCTTCTCTTTTTAGCGTTGAACGCAGGTACCAACTTACTTTCTTTGAGAGGAGACATTTAGGAGAAAAAAATCTCTGTATTGGGTAATTTCAACTTCTGGAATGTTACCTTTTTTTGAGAACTGGAGCTGTAACAAAATTCAGCTTCTTCAAGGCTTTGCTAATGCTGACCTTTCCTGCCTCTGTATCTGGAGCTCTGGGGGGCTCCTGCTTCTGTGGGGTGCTCACTTGAGCCAGGGTCTGAATGTAAGACCAGTGGGGACATCCTGCTGCTGGCCACAGGGACAGGCAGGGTCTGGAGCACCTGGGACAGCTGGGGGGTTCACCTGGAGACATGGAGGCTCAGGGGGACCCTCTTCACAACTCCTGATAGGAGGGGACAGCTGGGGGGTCAGACTCTGCTCCCAGGGAACAGGGACAGGAGGAGGAAAAAGGGCTTCAAGTTGTGCCAGGGAAGGTTTAGATTGGATATCAGAGAAAAGTTCCTGATGGAAAGTGTCTGATCCTGGCACAGCTGCCCAGGGCAGTGATGAGTCCCCATCCCTGCATGGATTTAAAACCCATGTAGATATCATACTTTGAGACATGGCTTAAGTGGTGGCACTGCTGGGGAAACGCCTGGACTTGAAAAATCTTAAAGCTCCTTCCTAAAACCATTCCGTGATTCCGTGACACTGGCTCGGATGGAGCAGGGCACCAGGGCCCGGAGGTGCTGGGGGCTGTGCCAGGCCAGGCCAGGCCAGCACAGGGTCGCTGTCCCCCGCGTGCCGGAGCGCGCCGGGCGGGGAGCGCGGGCGGTGCCTTTAAGGGGCGGTCGCGGGGCGGCGGCGGGGCCGGGCCGGCCGCGGTCTCCCCCCGGCTCCCGGAACTCTCCCGGCGCCGGCCATGGTGCGGATCGTGACCGTGCAGACCAAGCCCTACGGCGACCAGAAGCCGGGCACCAGCGGGCTGCGCAAGCGGGTGACGGTGTTCCAGAGCAATGCCAACTACACCGAGAACTTCATCCAGAGCATTCTGGCCACCGTGCCGCCCGCGGAGCGCCAGGACGCCACGCTCGTGGTGGGGGGAGACGGCCGCTTCTACATGAGAGACGCCATCCAGCTCATCGTCCGCATCGCCGCCGCCAACGGGGTAAGCACCGGGGGCTCCGGGGTGCGCTCTCCGCCCGCCGCCAGCGCGGCCGCGCAGCGCCGGCGGAAATCGCTGGCGCTCGGCGTGTCCGCGCGTGGAAGTGACAGATGGGCTGGCGGGGGACAGCTCGCGGTCCAGGCAGGAAAACCCCCCGGTGGCCTCTGCCCCCCTGCGGCAGCGAGTGGACATTAGCCAGGGTGGAGGTATGGAAGCAAACACGACTTTGCTCTAGTTTCTTCTTCTATGGTTGTGTTTTCCAGCTAAAACACAAACCAGCACGGTGTGCAGGCGGTGAGGTGTTGGGAGGGGGCAGCGTTCCCTTCCATAGCACTGGAATGTGTCTCACTGCTGGGGGATTCCTCCGTGGGTTAGTCCAGCCCAAGGGAATCCCATCATATTGATGGGGAGAGATGTACTGAAGTCAAGTTTGCAAAGGGAGGCTTTCCTCTACATTTACTCTTTTCCAAAGGAAAACTATCCTCTTCTCCTGGGACACCAACACCAGGAGCAAACATTCTTCCTCATGGACCACAAAGAAGGGAGGGGCTGAGGATGCTGGTAGAATCTCAGAGTTACCTGTTTCAAATCCCAGATGCTCCAATGCCTCTAAATATCTGACTTTTAAGGAAAAATTTATAATTTGTGATTGCTGCCTTCTTAGGGCATAAAGAAGCAAATAACTGGTTTGGGTTTCTTTTTAAGCCAGGTAGAAATTTGTCTTTTGTGATGTGTGGCAGCTGTTCAACTGATTCCATTGCCCAGCATCCCTGGATGCTGCATGCACCTCTGGAAGTGATGGATAGAGCAGCCTTCTCTGATGGAAAAACAGCAGGCACTGCTTTATTTATTTGTTCTGGGAGGGGGTTGGAGTTGGAATAAGCAGCATTCCTGTACACACAGGCAGGATCCCTGTGGATCACTGTGAATAAGCAGAGAGGGGAACTTGTTCCCTGGGATGAAGTGTGAGTTTGTGCAGCTTTTTGGATGTGCACCCGGGGCCTGGTGGGCTGTGGCAGCGTTCCAGGCACCGACCTCTCCATCATTTACACTTCAGCTCCATCCCAAGAGCAGAGGCCTGGGCTAGAGCCGTGCTGGGGGCTGATGAGGTGTTTTGGGAAGCATGGAGGGCCGGGAATGTCTCGGATCCTCCCCTGGACCGTGCAGTCACTCACGTAGGAGCAGAGCTGAGCTCGCTGCCAGCGCTGCAGCAGCGGGTCCCAAGGGCTGCCCTTGCCGGCAGGAATTTGCCTTGGAGCATTTTATCCACGTGAATTGCAGGTGCTGGGACAGAATTTGCTCTAAAGCCAGAAAATGCTCGAGAAAGGCAGGAAAAATGGGAGGTGGAGGAAGGAAACGTGTGGAAGAATATGTGGGCTGATAAATGAGCAGCAGGTAAAGCCTGGCTAAGGAACCAGAGGTACAGAGGGCAGAGCCACTGGAAACTTGATTACAGATATTTACTATATTTTAGCACCTCTGGCCTAAATAAGGAAGGGCAAGAACTGCCAAACTCAAGAGTAGCAAAACTGCCTGGTCCCAAGAAATGAGGGGATTAAAACCACAGGATTTCTTTAGCAAATGCAGAGCACTGGTTTAAAATAAATGTTGATGTATTTTGGAGTGCTTGAGGGATGCTTGGTTTGTGGGGTTTCTCTGTAATTGCACATATCAGTTCCCTGGTGGTTACCACAGTGTAGTTAAGTAAATCTCTTAAAATCCTCTTTCTTCATAGTAAATATGAAGTGACTGGAAGTTCCCTGCCCTTCAAAGAGAAGGATGGACAACTTCATTCATGGTAAGAAAGTGTCCTGCAGAACAGGGACCAGCACAGGGAAACTTCTTCCTGCAACTGTGGGTTTGTGCAGGTGCTGGGAGTCAAACATCTCCTGATACAGCCAGGTCTGGGGGAAAAACTCAGCAAACTCATGTTGAGAAAAGCTGAGTAATACTAAGAAAACTGCTGGGAAAGTGCATTTCTGGTCCTGAGGATGAAGAGGTGGTTGATGAATGCTTTAAAATCACTTGGTGTTAAGATCTGGCTGAGTGGTGCTCCCCAGGCACAGGACAGACCTGAGGACCACAACCAATGATCTTTAGTTTTACAACATAAAAGGACAGGATGCCAAAATTAGCTTGAATTTTGTCTCCACCTGGTATGGTTAATATGGAACTAAGTGTTTATTTTTAAGTAGCAACTATTCAGTTTGTAGTTATGAGATTAAGGGGTGTTTATCTTATTTTAAAGTTTGCATTTCTGTAAGTAAACTGAAATTGTTTGCCATTCCCAGTTGGCATCCAGTGTAGCCTACCAGCTTTGTTTTGGCCTGTGTGCCAGCTTTCCTTGGTATTATTCCCACATGGTGAGTCTGGCTCTTTAATTCCA